TTTGACTCAAGGCAGTTTAATCAGAAGTCTGGAAACCTCTCATCCTAACAAATACAGTCACTATTGCTGACTAAGAATAAGCTGAAATAAAGAAAATCCTGAGAAATTTCCACCTGTAAAATCAGAGGGTATACAGACTTTGACTCAAGGCAGTTTAATCAGAAGTCTGGAAACCTCTCATCCTCACTAATACAGTCCGCTCTTCCAAGCCTAGTCCAGTTGTCGCTGGAATTTTTAACTGATTACTTAATTCAAATTGAAGCAATGTGACTTTTACATCTTAGAAATATGGGCTGAAAGAGGTGCTTAAATAATTCCAGATATTTCGGCAGATAACTTCTATGAATATAATTCATTGAATTGTGTTTAACTCTAACACCTAAAAATAATTTTCTCATTAATTACCTATACTGGGTGTGTATGGGTGTTCAGTACTACACAAGAAATTTCTGGCCTAAAAAAGAGGGATGATAAATGTTGCTAAGTGAAGCAGAATTATACGTAACTAGGTAAGGAAAACATGACAGCAAGATTTGTCCCTAAGTACTTGCTTTTGACTGTTACGGGAGTATAGGTACTGTGAAAATGAGGCACAATAATGAGAGAGAAGTACATAAGCAAGAATGGAAAAAGAGAGGAGGAAGAGGACAGAAAACATAATGAGAGTAAAATATGAGTTAGGTACGTACAATTTTGCAAACATGACACCAAATCTGAGCAGAATCGAAGTAAGATAAGTATGTGCTAGATCTAACCTGAATCCAAACCAACGCCAAAATACATACGCATCAAAGGGAGCTAAGTGTGACCAGGATATGAGACTCCTCCGAATGATAGGCGGGAAATTAATCGAAGTAGAGTGAGAAGGAGACGCAGACACTCAAAGCGCGAAGCCGATAATATGCTGGATTGCTCGGAAACACACACGCACACACCGACACACGGAGGGACGAAATCACTCGGACTCCCGAAATGTCGCCGCACAACAGGTCGCTGGAGTGAAGAAAACGGAAAACATGCGCGAGTAAGTTCATGGTGAAATGGAGAAGTTCACATAGATGTTAATTCGAAACATTGGAAACGACGAAATTCGATGAAAATTTCGGGGTTCAGTTCCCTCAATCGCCGGACACGATTTCGGCAATGAATTTCGTGAAACAGAAGGCCTCTCAGCGACGGCCATTGTCCAATCCAAGTGACAAATTACCGAACACACACGATAGTTTGTATACGCTTACATCGCCGAAGAATTTACGCGAAACACACGAGGTACCGAGACACACAGCGAAAATAAACGCTGGAAACAAGAAAATCATGTGAAACTACGAGAATCGATGGAAATTGTGGGTGTCCATTAGCAATCAATTTGCTCAAACGCCGAGCACGAGGTACCTACTTCGAGACGATGAAGGACTCAATTCAAGAGGCTAATTACTTCACACGATCAATTTGGCATATACCAAAGAGTTTTTGCACAACAGACGAGGTAACGAGACACATTCGAAGAGTTCTAGGAGTCTTAAAACTTTTAGTAAAAGGAAAATCACTTGAAACCACGGGGAGTCACTCCGACCGGACGCGAGATTGTAACCGAATGGGACGATCGCTGACGGAAAAGTGCGGATCCTCAGGGCATGATTTGCATGGGGTGGGGGGCCCGGAGGAGTAGCGTCGCCCGATCGAGACTGATTCTGATTGGCGCACGCAAGGGTACCTTCGACAGACTGCATCCTGTTCGAAATTGGCGTCGTTCTGTCGCGCTAGCTTTTGATTTTCGGGTTTCTATTCCTTCGAGAACTGATAAAAAGCGTACCGCTCGATTTCAGACAGAGAGACGTCCGGTCAGTCCACCCCCCACGTAGAGATGGACGAATCCTTTTCGCAATCTCCTCTCACTTTCCACTCCTCAAAAATCTTTTCGGCCGAGCCGTCAGATTATGTAAGCAAAATGCAATGATGCGGAAATTTCCACACCCCGTTTTGATGGACTGCAGAAATGTGTATCTTCGTTTGCGACGTTCTGGCATGCTTGATTTCCTTGGTGCTTGGAAAATTACTGACTGTCATTTTTTTCGATGATTTTTCTTGTTTGATGTAAGAAATTCAAGTCATGATGTATGTTCGGCCTCTTTTTAAAAAATGAAATAGGAGCGGAAATTTTGAAACACCGCAACTGAGATACGCATTTTTAGAGTTTCACCTTGATATGAGGGGGGGGGGGCTGAGAGAAGGAACAAGAGAGAGGAAAAAGTCGCTTTTGGGGCGTTCGAATTGACCTAATCTTTCCCGTGTGCCCGTGCCGCCAAAAAATTGCTACCTATCTTTAAAAATACGCACTTTTTCGAGGGACATTTAGCAGCATTTGAATGGTCATACGGTGTTTTCGTTAGCACGGTTTTGCGTGGGAATTCGTGAAATGTTGATCTTACATAGTTAAAAACGCGCTTTAAATACTTCATGAGATCAATGAGATACTTATGTCGAAAGGTTAAAAAATTGATATCTTTTCAACTTTTTTTGACAATGACAATAATAATTAAAGCATTTTTCGGTAAAAAAGCGCATGTGACTTCCATGCTGTTGAGATTGTGCAATGTAGTTCTCTAATTGTACAAGTGACTTTTAACCTGCTATGAATTTTTTTCTGAATTTACTCCGAATTTTTCCCAACTATTGTGAGGGAGTATGTCAACTGCAAATGAATTTCAGCTGCCGTACCTAAACGCTATAAAAAATTGCACTATCTTAGCAGCATTGCAAGCCTCATCATACGCCCTTTTTCCGAAAAATCCCTCGATTATTGTAGAGCGGTATTTTGAACTCATTTCAGAAGATATATTCCAACTCATGAATATTGACAATTTTGATCTGAGAAAGTTGATGTTGAAGTCTATACTCGTACTTCCCTCAATGTCTTGAAGTTTTAGAATTTCTGAAAATTGCACGAAACCTTATTTAATTTTCTCGTGTAGGTACTAGACGTCTATGAGTGGATAAGCATGGGCGGAACTGCCCCCCCCCCCCCACAATTCTGCTTGGCCCTCTTCAAAAAATGTCAAGGACCGAATCTAGTAATTAGTTTTGAGACAAACTTCATGGGAAAGGTATTGAATAAACGTTTTTCTGGTTCTAAGTAGTTTTAGAAATTTTCCGAGACCCTCCTTAGGTACGCCATCATAAATTTAGAGTCACTGCATGAACTCGAATTTTACCTCCGCTTGTCTCTGACGACCCCCCCCCCCCCCCCCCCCCNCTCCGGATCTATTAGAAGGTCCGATTTTTTCGGGCCAACGGAGTAAAAGCTTCTCCCAACTATTTCTACCTCCAGGCAACTGTTAAAAATTTCCAGTATGTGTGGTACATTGATTCTTTTGTAATTTATGCTAAAAACCACAATTAAAATTCAGAAAAGTAATAGAAAATTCAGAAAAACCCACTTCAGGTTTTTTTTTTTTTTTTGGCTTCAAATACCACACAAGTGGTAATCCTTGCGCTTCCAGTTAGAGCCCTTCCCCCCTCGGTCCCTACCATGTACTAGCCCAAGACGACCGTTGTTTGAGACTCGAGTCGCCTAGCCGGGAATCGAACCCGGGACCTCCTGATTGTAGGGCCAGCGCTACAACCACTACACCATAGAAGGCCGAGGTATGGCATATAGGAGAAAAAAGTTGGCGAAATTTCTGTCATCATCTGTAATATTTTATTCCGTTTAACTTGTAATTGAGAATAATGGCTTAAAATTGCTCTCATGACGTTCCTGTATTCATAAATCAGCTGGGAGCAGGGTGGCAAGAAACGTAAGGAAGAAATGGAAGATTGGAAATTTCAGTGAAATATTTCATGAAATTTCACGAGGCTGTGAAATGTTTCATATTTTTCAGGGGCTAGAGTCAGGCCCGCCACATCCCATCTCGGGCCCTGGTACCAATTTTCTGGCCCGGGCCCCTAGCACAGGGGGGAGGGGGGGTTCCGGGGGGCCTCCCCCGGGAAGTTTTTGAAATTTTAAATCTATTTAGACGCATTATGAAGCTCTTATGATGGAGATTTTCCATTAATTTCTGCAGAATAATTACGCCTTTTTGTTTACTTTCAGCACCAAAAACTTTCGAATTGTTGCATTCAAAACATCTATAAATTTTTTTTTGAGGGGGCAGATGATAATTTTCAATTCTATGGGGAGCCGGGCCCCCCTAGACTCCCCTTTCGTACGTCTATGGCAAGGGAGTTAAGCCATTGAAGTTGAGGATGCCCAGAAAGGAGCCTCTTAGCATCCGACAACGGAAGAAAATGAAACACAGTTACTAAACATATCATTCTACATATACTCAAAATCTTGAAAATCTCTAAAAAAGTAAGAAAAATTTTATAGTGCCCTAGCGTGTTTTTGAAACTTTATTCACCTTTTGCGGAATTTTTAGGGTAATTTTTTCACTTTTCCCTACGAGACAAGGGTTACACATGAATTCGTAGTGGTTTGTCACCTGCGTCACGGGCCCCTCCAGGGCCCGGGCCCCGGTACCAAGGACCCAGTACCCCCCCCCCCCTTGTGGCAGGCCTGGCTAGAGTATGCAACCCGCACTCAAACACACAATAATGGGAGGAAGTTACAATTATCATATTTTGTGATTCAAGAAGGAACTGGTATTTTTCAATATCTTCCAAATATTTCTGAAATTTCACGAAATATTTCACGTGAAATTTCAAGATGTCAATTTTCATGAAATTTTGCCACCCTATAGAGTCTCCTGCTGATCTGGTTCCACCTATGGCGAGATGGTAGCAGTGCGTGGCGAGGCAAGTACTGAATGGATTGGTCGTGATGGAAAAAATGCGAGCACATTGGTCTGTCAGCCAATGAGAATGAAGACACAGCAAGGCGCAGATACTGCCTCACGCCGTACATAACACAACTTTGTCACGATCCCAATTGATTCTGCGTTGCCATGGCGTAGAAATGTGCTGTTTTCCGCTCACCATGACAACACCGCACTTCCTCTCATGTTTACTCTATGAATGCAAGCAAGTCAAGTTGTCTCATAAACTTTAGATATATTTAGGCTGTCAAGTAATCAAGTTTGTTATACGCCTGTTATCAGCGCTCAGCCGCTTACATTAGTTTAGTTTTTGACTTCGTGCTCCATTTTCCTACCATAAAATTAGCGTGTTAGCTGAATATTAGCACGTTCCAATCAAATCTGCTCAGCCGCTAGTGTGTGTCAGTGTTGTTTTCTGTGAAAGGTATCCTATCATTTCTCTCTGTAACCTCACCTCAAATCATGTACTTGTTAAAATGTATGTCTAGATTAATTAAAGTAGCCCAAGTCACCCTCTTGAGACTCATTTGCTGATTTGAAGACATTTTTCATCACAGCAGTCTTCTAATCGGTCTCTCCTCAATGCAGTCTCTAGCCAGCCCAGCTTTCCGGTTCCATTAATGTCTCAAAATGGAGTGACTCAACTTTAAATCCAGTTTCCGAAATCTCCTTTCTTTTTGTAAATAGGTGTCACAGACCCCACCTTCAGTACTTCGGGGAAAACTCCCTTAACTACGGATCTGTTTACAAGTTGTGTTAAAGTGACTTTTGTCTCTTCTTTTCTTTCCCCAGTTCTAAGCTTATCCAATCTCGTTTGGTTCTTTTGCTTGTGAACGCAACCCAACGGTTGCCACCAACCTCCCGAGATTGTTGAGCGTTTGGTTGAAAAGTTGGGCATTCATATGTTAACACACAAGTCACCAAGTAATTCAAACCAAATCCAAGAACTTGGACTGTATGTGGTCGGGTAATTCTGTCTGCAAACGGTCCGAAACAGTTCACTTGGACAACGCACTTCTGTTTTGGACCGGGGAGTAAGAATCCACAGCCAGAAGCTATGGGAAGAACCATAGAGATTTGACCACATATTCTTTCCCCTTTACTTGGGGAAGGTTTCATTTTACTATAAGTGAACAAAAAAATACTAATTTAAGTATCTCTATCTTTTATAGATGTCTTTTAATCGTAATCAGCGCCGAGACCATCACAGTGGAGGAGGAGGTGGTGGAAACCGTTATTCAGGTGGCAATAATGCTAATCGCATTAACAGGGGATTCGGACGAGAGTTTGGGAGCAATTATGAGCACAACTCCATTAGTCATTCCTTGCAGTCGTCAACTGTCAATCCTTGGGCCGGCAATTCAACCCCTGAAAGTCGGCCAAGTTTACTCCCTACCCCGGGATCAGGCAACTTGTTATCGCAGCTGACTAACACAATCAATTCACCAGAAGCACAGCTTTTAATGGCCAGTAATTTACTATCCAAATTGCTGACTCCTGCCAACCAATCTCAAAGTAATGTAAGTAATCACTCAGTCATGAAATTTCAAGTCTTCGCAATCTTTGATAGAAACCATTTTAACTTTTAATAAAGTTAACAAAGAGAATAATTTTTGTAAAACTTGTTGGTGATAGATGCCTCCTATCAAACATTATCAGGAGACAGGCGCATTATTAGCGTTAGCCCAAGACACATCCCCAAATTGCAATCATGCGGACTTTTCAACTCGAGTCAGGAATCTTGCAACAGTTAAAACTAAATCACAGTCCCTGAGCCACTTTGTGGAACTTCAAGGTCATAACTTGCAATCAGATAGATTTATCACTCTACCATTTGATACCACCCCAGGGATGCAGAGAGATCTTAGCCTACCCCTTTCTCGAAACCGCTTCTTCCCCAAAATGCTTAAAACTATGATTATTTGTCTGGGCGTAATTAAAAAATGGCCATGATTTTTAGAGGGGAAAAAAACTTGAATTTCACTGCGATTCAACAACAAAAACGCAGATTTCCCTGCAATTTCAATTTTCGAAGAAAAAATCAATTGGAAAACATTTTATCTCGTATGCTTGCGCTTCTCTGAGGAAAGGCTGCCAATCAAAAACCTGAGCCCACAGTGCTTTATTAGTAATCTTTATAAATGAATGATGCATGAGAAATCTTACAGGCTGATCATAGACTCAATTCCTCTTCAATCTTATGATTGATCATAAAATATGAATGGTTATTGCCTGTATCCGTCGTTATTGAGTACAGTTGCCTCAATACATTTTTAACTGTTTCAAATGTTCACAGTGGATGTTCTCTATTCGAACATAGTTTTTTCATCTGTTTTTCACTTTCAGACTTTATCTTTTTTGACAGAAGTAGATTCAAGAATTTATAATTTGAAGCATGTGTCCTCTAAAACTTATCGCCTCTAACAAATAAATAATGTGCGAGAAAATCATGTAATTTTCAGAGTTTCCTCTCCGTCTAGAAAAGACTGATAGTCTTGGAATGTTTTACTTCTTGATTCCACAAATCATGTGGAAATTTATGTCTGAAATTTTCTGATGATCAAGGAATTGTTTACATTTTGGTCGTAAAAGTCATTATCAGGGAATTTTTTTAAAAAAGTGCTACACTCTGCTGCAATCTTCAAAGTGTACTTAACACAAATCATTTTAATGAATGGCTGATGTACAGGCAATACATTGTCTTCAAAGGTAATTGTGTAAGGTAGTCTTACAAGCATCAAAATATGAAGGAAGAAACGGTTCCCAAATGACACTCCTCCAAAATGTGCATTAAGACTCGTTGTTAAAGTTAGAAATTGAAGTCAGCGAAATGACGTCAGTCCGCCACTCTTAGTTATCCGCTCAGCGATGATGCAAACTTGTTGGTAAACAAAGGCCGCCATCTTCTCAGCAAAACTGGTAAGCGCCCTGGGAACCAGGCTGAGCGATTTTGCTGAGAAGATGGCGGCTTTTGCTTACCTCAGCGGATAACTCAGAAAACGTTTAACAACACTTCGGCTGAGCTCAGTCACCCAGCGGATAACTCAGCGGTTGCACTTCTGACTTTAACAACGCGTCTTTAATGTAACTGTCCCCCAACTTTCCCTCTGTCTTTATTTTTTCTTCCTTCTATACCTTATTTGAGAGTACAAATGGAAACAATAATCAAGAGGACACATCTTTCTGCATCTCAGAATATCTATGATGAATCGCCTCAGTTAATATTCTTGAATCAGAAGCATCAGGATGTGAATGCACATCTCTTGACATCAAGCTAAAATTGTGTTTTTTTATTCCTTTTTATCAAGGTATCTAGTCTTTTGAACATGTCTGGATTGGGCACAAATTATGCTAACAGCAACTTCACTCCTCGGGAAATGGATCGAGGTAGAAACTTTAATGCACGCCGCAATGAACCCTATAACAAGGTAATGAAGTCTTTTACCATCCTGATTATGTTGAATGTATTATTATCAGCTTGCAACTATGCCGTTCTTCAGTTGTTGTTTTTTTTTAAAGCAACAACCTTTGCTGTTTCCTATTTTTTTTCTTCTTTGAAGCAAATGAGTGATACAACGAGTAGTTCAGAAACTAACTCCTAAACGAAATTCTGAGAAGTATTTCTAACACTGATCGAATGGAAATTAGATAATATAAATATCGTCATTTGTGTTGTTGCCATTCAACCAATGTTAATCGTCAACACTTATATCTTGTTTAGGAGTTGATTTCCAGATTTCCTGTCTTAAGAATTGTTTTCTTTTTGAAAATTTGACGAGAAAACATTTTGCATGGTGCTTTAATTTATACCTCCTCCAGAGGCCCATTGTCTCATTTTAAACTATTACAACTGAAAAATATTGACTGGAAAGGATAATGGTGAAATAAAGATCGGTCGTACCTGATGTTCTCATCGTCAATGTCTAACCACATACAGTGAACAAAACAAATGAGCTCGGAATCCAAAATGCATACATTATTCAGGGTGATTACAGGTCTGACAGATGCAGAACAGTCAGGGAATTTTATCAGGCCAGGAAATTAAATGATATAGACTTTAATTTTGACTTTGGAAATTTAGAAAGAAAAAAAAAACATTAGTGCTGTCCACAACCATTTCATTGAGTTGATCTGGTTCAGAGTTTAACACTCAGATTTACTCTCTGAATAGTAAATCAGTGGCACATATACTATTGATGAAGAACTGAGATTTTAGTTATTTTAATGATTATAGACTCTATATGATATATAGAGAAAAGGTTCTTGTATTTCTGTTGTTTGCAGTGAAATTGATACCAAAATTGTTAATTTTTTGTTCCACGCATGTAATTAGTTGATGTGAAAAGTCTGGGAATTTTGATTACTTTTGTCAGGGAAAACTTGGAAAAGTCAGAAAATTTTTTCCCGTCAGGTCGATAGACACCCTGATATTAGATTGTTTATTTGTTCAAGAATTATTTTCTGGAATCCTTCAATTTAATGAAGTGGTGAAGTTGAGCTTTAGCATTTCCAGCACATGCTGCAAGTACAGTTGTTTTTATCGGAGAAATTCCAGTGGTAGTGTTTCTCATAATCAGATTGAATGGAATCTCTCAAGTCTGATTGAAGAAGAAAATACTCTGTGAGAATTACTGATCAATTCAGCTACATCTGAGATTGAGCTATTGCATTGAAGTGCTTCAATTGCACCATCAAGAAATTCATAGGTCGTTATAGAGGAACTGAAAGAATGTCTCTATGATAAGAATCATCCGGTTACTTGCTGCATAGTTGCAGAAGGCGTTTGTCCGATCGATGAGCTGTTCATCTAAAAAGCTCCTATTACTGCTTATTTTCATAAATTCTGCGATTTTCATTTTGAGGGTCTCTGTCCTTCTCTACAGATCCTTGCAGAAGATTTTCCCAACAAGTCGTCTGCCCTTTAAACGAGGGCAGGAACCCCTGAAACAATTGTGGGCATGATGAAAGTAAGTGGATTGCATTTTGCGAAAAGGAACCAAGAGCATTTTAATGTCACTAAGATTCTGCGACTTTTTTTTACCTAGCAAATATAATCTGATCATCTAAACAAGTTTTATTGTTACTCCCAATAAACTATGAATTCAAGACGAAAATTACCTTTGTAAATTTAATTTTTTTGCATAATTTCAGTATTTAATTGCAAAGAATGCAAGTTGCACAATCCTAGCAACATTGGAATGCTTTTGGTTTCTTTTTGTAAAATGCAATCCAAGTGACACTGAAGTTTTGTTGATTAAATCAGTTTAACAAGCATTATATTACTGTTTTCAAGCTTGCTTATTTTAACTGACTCATGAAGTGTGAAATAAGACCCTTCTAGTTTCTACATCTGCTTAGTAATGAGGGTTTGAGGAGAAAATACTGAAAGGGGAACTTGTGACGTGAGATTTTAAGGTTTTTTTGTTTTTCTTAATCTCCAATGGAGAATTTGCAAGGGTCTGAAATTTGATGAATTTCCTGTTTAAGTGGAATCCTCTGAGTGAACTGAACACGAAGATACCCTTGATTCATAAATTGAGCGATTATTAGAGGAGATATGACAAAATAACCGATTCTGCTAAAATACATGTGTTTAAATGGGAAATGCCGCCAGATGACGTCACAAGGCGGCGCATTTTCTCACTTTTAAATCAATTTTTCTCCAATTTCCCATGTCAGAAAAAAATTATGAAAAATATTGCGAACTCAGCTCATTAGGCACTTTCAGATGAAGCAATAAAAAAATTGCGTGCAAATTCTCCATTCCTGAAAATTTCGAGATGCTTTCACGTATGATGAACGTATTTGGTGCCTTTCATATCGTTTCAATCATCACTCTGAACTTGTGGGTCCTCAGATTTCATTTTCTATCAAAGTTGTTGCCACAGATCTACTGAGTTGATTTCTATGATTTTTTTTTTTACTATTGCCAGGCACTTTATAATCTTTAGATTAGTCTGCTGCCCTCCAAATCTTTGAATTACATCTCAGGTTCTTCATAGCTAGGCATGAAGTATCCATTAAGTGTTAGGCTGCGTAATAGCCAGGAGAGCTACTAGTTACATATGTGATGGTTATGCCACCTTTCCATGCCTTTCAGCACAACAAAGTACAGTATGTGAAAAGCACAAAAACTCAAAAACAAGTCGTTTTATTCCTTTTAGCAAAAACTAAGCATTCTTATCTTTACAAAAATAATCTTATTCCAGGCATTCTGTGCCCGTAATTTTTTATTACTTGGCTGTCAAAAATGTTAATCATCACCTCATTTTCAGTTGAGATTTAGCCTGTGCTCTGCAAACAGAGTCCATGCCAAATAATTTTATGCACTTTTAGACGGCGACAGATGATCGTGTGCTGTCATATTAGCATTTAAATTAAATGCAAGAATTAAGGCGGTAGATCCTCTGCCGCAGTCTTAACTCTACAGGGTGTCTCAAACAACCTGTGTCAAAATGCATATGATATGATCAATCACAATTCAACTCTGGAAAATGGAATCATCAAAGAGTCTCGATGTATTTTAATCAAGAATCACAATTTATCGCATACTTCGTAACGTTATCAGCCTCAAAAGAATAGAAAGAAAGTCCAGATAATTTTTTAAGGTTTTTTGTCTAGGGTCTAATGTTTTATGTGAAAATCATTAAATCTAATAGATGATTACTCAGTGGTGTTCTAAATGGGATCATTCAGAGGACTTTTTGCCCCAATGCAATCTTTCAATCTTTCTCTCTCTGAAAGTAGAGAAAAATAGAATTTCTCTCATTCAATTCTCCATGTATCGGTGTTTATCACGATTCAAGAATTTGTAAATCATGTCATAAACTTTCCTAATCAAACAATTTAAAATATCTCTGCTGAGTAATCGTTTCAGCGATTGTAATTTCTTACTTCTTTTGTTGATTCCACAGCTTCTATTTCGCTCTGTTTATAGGTAATTCTCTAAAAATTGTTGAGTACAGAATCTGATAAATTGTCAGATTCTGGCAGGAAATGATTCTGCCTTCTAGTTTCTCCTTTGAAAGACTTGAAAACCTTTCAATTTGCCCCTTTATACTGGTCTATTTTTTTTAACTCCTATATTTTCCACTTCTTAGGTGTGTTGTTCTTTTAACCTTTTTTTCACATCCACATCATCATTCAATTGTATCGGGAAATGTTCCTTGTCTTGATACTACTCTGGCAGCTCTAGTTTCCAGTTCATTGGTTTTCTTGATTTTACATTCGTCACCAACCTAAGTTTTTACTTACTTCAAAGCCATTTTCAACTAGAGTTGCCAGATATTGGTGGCTGTTGTCTATAATCCTTGCACAGTTTAAGTAAAATTGCACAGCTTTCGCCCCAGCTGGCAATGTATCTTCAACTTCTCCTATGACTTCATAGAATTTAACACTTTTTTGACTTAGTCTTCTATGGGTCGACGAAATCAGTCAAATAACAAGCCTCGCAACGCAGGACAGCAGAATCAAAACCGTAACCGTAATAGGCCCAGTTCTTCCCCTGCAAAGCCTTTGAAAAAAACTGACCATGATTCTAAGGACTCGCAGGATAAAAAGAAAAAAGAGGATGTGAAAAAAGAACCTGAAGAAAGGTAAGCTGCTTCTTTTGTTTCTGCCGATGGGAATTTTATGGATTTTCTGTGTTTAAGATACTCTCATATGTTTCCATGGAAAACCTGTACTTTCTCCTAGATCGGAAGAGTTGATTCTTACTTTTTAAACTCATCAAATCCCTTGAAAAATCCAAAACAATTTTTGGAAAACGTGCAACTATTTTCTTTGAAATATAAGTTTTTCTACAACTCCACACTGAATTCAGTTCTCTATCCACAAGATCGAATAACTCTCTGCCCTGTTTGAGTAAAATCTGAAGAATCATTTTTTTTCATATTAGCTTTTTTATGGCATTTAGCAACTCTCTTGCCATTATCCTCAAATTTCAGACTGTCTTTTCTCTATGTACCCATCAAAATGTTCCAACCGTAGTCCTGAAACATGTATCATTTTCATTTTGATGGTTGGAAACTGTCAACAATTTGGTTTTTCCTGAAGATCCTCTGTGCAAAGTACTAAACTGTAGACCCATCAGATTTTTGTTGTTAGTTCTCGGTACCACTACGTCATTTTTTGCGCCTGCTCTCCCTCTGCAACTTTATGAGAAGTTGCTAGGAAAAAACGGTTTCTTTTTATCCCAATCGTGAATCAAATTTCCTATTGATACTTTGGAATGCTGAACTCATAGATACAATCCCACAGTGTACGTACTATATGTATGTCTCCGAGCTTATCTCCTTCTTTCCATCATTCTTCTTGTTGCTTGGCCAAAGAGGAAAAACAACGCTCAAAATATTCAACCTCCTTATCAAAACATCCAATTATCATATTCCACATATATTTCCACAATTTAATTCAAGTATAGAGTTCAGTTCATGACGATGTCTTCCTATCAATGGAACAACAGCCTCTCTTCAGGAACTGGCTACTATTTCTCGGAAGCTGAGTTGTATGGTTTCTCGTTTAACCTCAGCTCTTCTCCCTGAATTCCATTCTAAGGCACCCAATTCCATAACTTATTTCACTACTTAAGATCGAACTCATTTTTGAAGTGGCTTAAATTGGTGATAGCCTGGAATTTTGGATTCGTAAGAATCTTATTTCCTTATTGTTCTTGCTTTTGAGTTTATTAAGCTTCCTGCTATCATCTCTCAAACTCTCACAGAAGTCAATAACTATTCCTGTTGATATATGTCTTCCTCGAAAATAATCTTTTCCGAATGAGTTGATTACCGATTGTTATAAGTAAGTTGGGTTGATGATTTTGAGAATTCATAGTATCAATCAAGCATGCCTAAAACAGTGGTCAATTCATTCAAGATAAATCTCCAGCCACTAATATTTTTTGTAAATTTGCAGGAAACCTCAGGTGAAAGAGGAGCCCAAGGAAGATGAGCCAAAGGTAAAAATTGTAATTAATATCAAATCGATTCATATTTTTCAATCCATTTCTTCTTAAATCTTACTCTTCTTCTTTTGTCATTCTTGATCAGGAAAGCATCATAATATTTTAAAATCTTTAAGCAATTATTTCCGCTGCAACCAGATGCGGAATGCCCAGGGGGTCTAGGGCAAAAGAGCCCCACAGGGCTCCTTGCGGTAAAACTTGGGGCCCTGACCTTTTCTCCGATTTGGTTGCCCCCAGAAAATTTGGAACCAGTCTGCTCCTGACTTGCAACATTGGATCATCTTAATTACTTGATCAAATGGAAAATGGGCACTTTTCTCACTCATTTGAATCACAAAGATGTAAGAGACAACAAGGCTTTTGCATGTGTAGAAATTGGCTTGCGAGTTCGTGTTTTTACTGCAACTTCTCATGAAAAATACGTTCCAGAGCTTGAGAAAGCTCAAAGAAACCTTTTTTTGACTAGAAAAGCGGAGCCAAATGTCTTGGTACTGGGAAGAACGTTTTTCATTAACCTGATGTGTATGACATCTCATAAAAAGATGACCCAGGGTTTCATCCACCTTCAATCAAATGTAACATGACCGCTGTACTTTTAAAATGACAAACAAACGATTTCTTTTCAAAAATACCACACAAATATTCACTCCAAACGCCAGTAATGATACGAACATGCTTACGAAACATACCATTTTGTTCCCATTGCAACCTTAGAGTAAATGAAAGAGTTCAGAGGAAATGATAGACAGCAGCCGATTCTTCTTGTAAATTCACAAAACCTGTTAGTAATGTATTTTTCTGTTTGAGATGGGGTTAGATATTTGACAACTTTGGATGTCGTTTTCTCTGGTAAAATTTGATGAAATAAAAAGTCCATAAAGCAGGCATTCTCATTTTTCACTTCCTCTCCACAAGTAAATGAAAAATTAATTCTCTATAAGCTCCATTTCGATGGCCCAAGTGTGAAACCCCGTATCTCCATTTGGGATGTTACAGGATTCCTGACATACTTAATTTTTTTTTTGGAATACTAGTTGACGTAATTTCTTGAAAACTTCCTTGATTTTTCTTCTCCGTGAGCCGAATGCTCTCTGTAAATTTCACGCTTTAAAGTTGGCTTGTTTCTCTTTGAAAAAGTAAAATAGTAGCGGAAGTTTTGAAACACCGCAATGGAGATGCGTAGTTTCGCACCTTAGCATCGATTTCAACTCTTCAAAACTGTCCTAATGGTCTTATTGAAAAGTTGATATTACTGAGGGATTTCCCTCTCTTTATACTGTATAAACAAATTGTCAGTTGTAATGTATGAATTTTTAATGTAAACTGCTTATTTAAACAAAATTAACTCAACTTTGAATTCCTTAAACTTGCCTCTTTACATTGCCGCGCTCATAATTAAGGACCTCAAACTTTCTGAATGAAAAGGGAATCATAGTCTGAGCGATTTAATCAAATTCATCCGAAATTGTTCCGTGCTTTCATGCCATCCTAAACTTTTTTTGGTCAGCTGTATCAACTCTCACATTTACTCTCTGTGTGAGCACACAGACAGTACAAATACTGTCATTAGTCTCCCAAAAACAGATATTTATCTACCTGATTGTTTTTCTCGAAATGCTTCATTGATTGCAGTACATTTCATTAGAAAATTAGTACTTGTTGTTTTGGAATTTTTGCTGTAGAACATACAGCAGCGTTAGAAACGTAATTTCCAATGTTAATATATTTTCTTTTCTCACAGGTTGCCAGTGCATTTCATGGAATCCCCCGAGCTCTTCTCTATTGTTATGTCTGTCATAAGCATATGTGGGATGATTCTGTAAGTGTGAAATTTTTCTCTTCATCAATGTAATAACGTAAACACTATGTCCAAGAAAAAAAAAATTCTTACAACAATCCTCTTTTATAATCTTACACACAGTTTAATTTTTTTTCTCCTCATTTAAATATTATAGAAAATACATATTTTTGAAGAAAGTTATGAATATTTTTCCTAAAATTCCCATGAAAATTGAAAGAAAAATACTAACGAATTTATCCAAAAATTTGGCAACGTCTGAAGGCTGATGCAATGTTTTTCCTCAGCCTGGCAAATCTCCTTACTTCAGTTTTTTATTCAAATCGTTCCATGTCCTGTTTTTCCTTTTTTGTTGCAGTCTTTTGAAAATCATGTGAAGGGTCGTCCTCATGAGTGGATGCTTTCTAAATTAGACGAGAGTAACAAACTGGTCGTTGACTTACTAAGACACCAAGTCAGGGTGAGCTATTTTTACCTTTCAAACATTTTTGTAGCCTTTCAACGAATCGCCTAAGTTTTCACCCAGTGCCCAAAGCCCTGGAAGTAAAGCTCCAAAGTGGTGGCTGTTTAGCCAAGTATTGGCATCGATCCATCCAAAGGAGAGCAGCCGCTTTCCTTCGGAGGCCATCAGCATCAACACTTGACTAATCAGCCACCACTATTAAGCTTCACTTTGAATGTAAACGATAATTGAATGACATTAAAATGTTACAACAGCTGTAGTTTTTTTTTTTCCTCTCAGTGACCTCAATTTAATCAATAAGAATAACCAGTTAAATCCAATTTTTACAACCTACGCACAAAATATCTCGTGTTGCAATCTTTCTCCAGAGATTACACTCTAGCTCTTTTTCTAATTGATACATCAAGTCATATAGCATCGGCATTCTGTCAAGAACAATATAAATTACAACTTTAGGCCATTCCTGATAGAGAACGGTGGAAGCAAGGGGATATTAACCTACGGCTTGAAAAGTTTTAAAGTCAATAACTCCCTATTATTATTAATTTTTGTTTGGTTTCTTCATACTTTAGGTAAATGAAGAACAGAGAAGAATGAAGTTCCAGCGCTCAGCAAAAAAGAAGAACCGTAACTCTAATAATCAGAAATGTGAATTCTGTGCAATGTGTGATGTTGATATCAGAGGAAGCCTTGCTGCTCATAGACGGAACTACCTCCATTTGGTAAAATTTCATTCATCTTTCTCAGAATATTTGATTTTGATTTTTTTGGCTAATGTCTCTAGATTCATAGTGGATGCACCTAAATTATATTTGCTGAATCGTTTTTCGGATTATTCGTAACTTCTCCCACCGATTCTGAGCCTTTCACTCTATGGCTTTGGAAGAAAAATAGATAAATCAGGAGGTTTAACCATTTACATCGATAGCTAGAGTGCGAAACTTTGTGACGTCATTGCGGTGTTTCAAAATTTTGGTTCCTATGTTATTTTTTAAATGAGAAGCAAGCCAACTTTATAGCTCATACAGAATATTCTGCTAACAGATGAGAAGGATAAGCCTTGAATTATATTTGCTATAAATCGTTTTTTGGATTTTTTTTCCCCTTCTTTTTTTATGGTGAATTTGAGTCTCTCAAAAGTGAGGAAGCTTTCAAAAAATTATGTTGACTAGTTTTTCGAAGGAGAAATGATGTATGACAGGAATTATGCATAGTTTCAAAAGGGTTTAGCATTTTTGCCATCAAACGCTGGTTGTTCAACTTTCTGTCTTTTGTTGAATTCACCCTATATATATAAATTTGAAAGTTAAATTGGGTAATTTCCTTTGCCGAAGACAAAAATTGTGTATCCACTGTTGGGATGAATCCAAGACTTCAAGTCTTTTGTTAATGACCTGCGCTCAATTCATGTCCCAAAATTCTGGCATTCATTCTGAAAACAGTGTTTTAGGTACTCAATTTAGAACCTTTTGCAAACTTTTACAATATCTCCTTATTCTTACTCCATTTCTTTCTAATTATTTTCCACCCCATGGGTTTAGCTTAGTTTTGGGATATAATTTGGCTGTGTCAAAGATGTGTATGCTCGTCAATTTGAATTCGTCCTAGAATGTCTGCGATGTGTCCACAGGTCAACTTCTGAGAATAGTTTAAAGTACTTCTAGATTTACCAGAAAACCTTTACACGACATTGCAGACTGGTCGATACTTTGCATGATGCACTTTAATTAGAAAAGACTAGATTTTTCAGAATGTGCTAAGCTAAAGAGACATTTTGCATGCAACAGCTCTCTCCAGTAGAGAAAAAAGTTCTATAAATATTATTCTAGAGGATAAGAATTTAATTTGTCAATATTGTAATAAACATGAGAAAACAATGAATTGACAGTGAAACTACCAGACCTTATATCTCGTTTGCGGTGGTTTTTTTTTTTTTTTTTTGTTATTTTTTAAGGAGAAAAATCAATACCATTTATTAAAGTTTTTGCAATATGCGAATAAGTAAATTTCCACATTAAAGATTCCACCGAGTATTTATCCCACAGAGAAGGAAAATGATGAAAGTTTTTAAGAATTGACGTTACGTAGTTTTCCATTGAAAAAATGAAGTATGGCAGAAAATCCGCAATATCGCAAACCGAAATACGTGGTCTGGTAGTTTCACCATCGAAATAAAAAAGCAAAAACTTTCACAAATCCAATACTGAAATTGACGGAATGCAAAATTAACTTCTCTAAAATTAACACTGTCATCTGCATCAGCTGACATTGTGCCTCATTGACTTTGAAATTATAGTATTCGACTAATCGCCACAATGGGCCTGTTGCAAACTTTTGCTAGAACAAAAATAAGAGTTTTTTTCCTAGATAATGCCTCAAAAATCCATCGGCAAAGTCTGAAATGCACTTGTAACTTCACAATCTGCGTAAGAAATTTGCGTTTTTTGAGCTTCCGGCTTCAAGAACGATACTACAGCACAGGTGAACATTTTATCAGAGGAGTCGCTCGGCAATATTCATCATGGCCGACCTCTCCACAGTTCCGCCTGTAATTCAAGGAGAGTTCAAGGACAATCAAGGCATGCGAGGAAAATATGAATGTAAACACGCCGATTGTTATCTGGTCTTATCCTGGTCAGGTGTTATCTCGTCCCATCAAACATGTTTTGGCGGATTGCCGTCGGCCATGATGAATATTGCTGATGATGGAATGACTTCTCTAACATAATGTTCATCTGTGCTGTAGTATCGGTTTTGAAGCGGAAAGCTAAAGAAACCGCAAATTTCTCTTGCAGATTGTGAAGCTATGAGTGCATTTCAGACTTTGCCGATGCGCTCATCGAGATTTTTGAGGCATTATCTACAAGAAAAAACTCTTAGTTTTCCTCTAGCAAAAGTTTGCAACAGGCCCACTGTTAGAAATGGTCACTAGATCCTTTCAAAGCAATTTTCAGGAAAATAGATACTCATTTTTCTAGACAAATTTGCACTTTAAGTAAATGTATATTTATTCACAGCATCGTCATTCTAGATTAATCTCAGATATTTTTTCCCCTCCAAAACAAGAGTCCTCTTTCTTTTCTTTCTGCACATTCATCACTTCCTCTTTTTTCACTTGCAGAAGCTGAAACGCTTTTTACATCCAAAATGTTTATCATGCAAGAAGGAGTTCCACAATAGATTAGACTTTAACCTGCACAAAATCTCTGCAGACCATCTGAAGGTAGGTTTAAAATATTCTTAGTTTCAGTTTAGGTACTAATTTATTACCTTTTTACTAACTCATTAAATAAACTGACACTAAAACCTAAAATAAGTAACTCTCAGTCATGGAATTTGCTGAAATGGTTATGCAAATCTATTTATTTGCCTGTCACTGAAAGTTCTAAATTTTACAATATGATTTTTTTTTTTTTTTTTTTTTTTTACATTGTACCAGTTGCCCTTGTTGAACAAGTAGAAACTTTTAACCACCATTTTTGAACTTTTACATAATTTGGTATTTATTACAGATGATACATATCTATTTTTTCTTTTGTCAGATGAAACTATCCAAAACCGCTTGTCATTTTCGGAGTTCTCATCTTGAGGTTTCAATTTAGTTTTTACATTTTTAAAATCTTGCATTTTCAATCCAAAGAAAATAAACGATCCTTGAAGTATTTTGGTCTTCAAAAGTTGCCATGGTAAATATGCTTCAAGGTGCAAAACGTCTCTGTTTTAATCATTTTAAGACCTTAGTGAATTTGTGTATACTTAGGGGCTAGAGCAACAGGTTTCCACACAGAATGTAAAGAAAAGATTTGATGTCAACTCAAAATTCTTTGCAAAGCTGTACTTCAAGCATAAAATTAGTCAGTCGTCTGAATGCGGTCAATTTAATATGTACAGTGATCCCCCACTCATTTTCTGCATTGATTCCTAGGTTCTTGCTGAAAAACGCCGTGAAAGAAGACCAGATTTGAAAGATGATGATTATGATCTCGAAGACTTTGTCGTTTTGGATGACGTCGGTGGAAGCTGTAAGTCTCAATAATCTGTGGTCAAAAACCAAAAATATTCCCAATATTAATTTTTACCATTTTAAACAATTCCACCTCCTGTATTTTTAAGTTTTGTTAATTTAAGCTACTTGCGTAATGCGTAATGCATAATACGACAAACTTACTGCTGCACCGAAAGGTCATGAATGGATGAGCAATTTGAACGATAAGCCTACTGAAAAAAGTTTCAGTCGCTCTTAAAATTGAATAAGTGTTTATTCTTTCTGTATTTTAGATTTTGTCCTTAGATATTATCTCTTTCTGAAATATCTTGTCATGTCTTTAGTTTATTATTATTAAATTCAGCTAAATCAAAAACATTGAATTGGTTTGCCGTAGTGTATTATTTTGTCTCAATTTTCGAGAAGCTAGGTTGCAGACAAATTTACAGATGTAACTTTAAATTGTTTAAAAAGAGGGAAGGTGGAGAAAGGTAGAGAAAGCCGTGACCAATCCTCTTGTTGAGGAATCTAGTGTATTGAACAGCCACACGCGCTCCTAAATTCATCTTCTCTACCCATGTCGATGGACAGTCGGGCATCATTTAGCTGAAGGAATCTATCTAAGAAGAAGCTCTGATTGAAATGATAACCAACAGATGCTATTTAATGGACCATAAATTAGGTTTTAAATTTAATTTGTGTCAGAACTTCTCCTGCTTAGTGATATCCAGTGGATGGAAAGTGACCTCCTCAAGGTTTTTGGCCGTCTGGAAAGTCATCAAATTCCGCATGTCATCTGTCGGCTCCTACCTACTATTTGGACCTTTTGAATAACATTGAAGTACAATTTTCCATTTATGGTAGGTCTTTGAAAGTGAATTTTGTCCAAAGCTGAGCAAAAGTCAGCTCGAAATCAACAGAAAAAAACGAAGTGAAAGTCCTGTTTAAAAGTCAGGGATACGCAGAACTTTTAGGTTAGGGCATCTGAAAATCTAAAACTTGGGTAAACCCTGCCTCTGACTTACACATCAAAAGGCAGTAATTCATTCAAACTACGAAAAATATTCAGGCTTTCGAATTCTTGGTCTTTCATGTTTCCTTTTATCAAATTCACAGTCACATGGGGTGGTGATGAAGCGTGTCTCACTGGAGAAATCAAAGTGTCTACTAAAATCGAAGCAGAAGAAGACATCGAAGTGTCAAAAATGAAAGACCAGGATGTTGAAATGAAAGAAGATGAAGAAGGAGACCATGCCAAAGAGAAGGATGAAGCAGGAAAAATACCCATCTACAATCCTGCTGCTGTCGTTGGTATGTAGTCACTTATTTTTAGTTCCTACCTTTTTCTTAGTTTTTTGCCTTTAACAAATCTTAAACAGTTAAGAATACTCCAGGATGTTCAACTGAAATCTAGTGCATTGAAACATAGTCCTTTCCACTTAAACCATTTCAAAAGAAGCATGGTACAAGAATGAACAGTTTTCTTTTCCTAAACTTACATGGTTTTTTTTTTCTTTCTTTACTTTTTCTATCTCAAGTATCTCAAAACTGTTAAACTAACTGATTTGCTCTCCGTTGATCTATACAAATCTATTCAGCAAATGCTTAAGACATTATCAACTTTGAAATTAACAGAGAAACAACTTAAAACAGGACTAAGGCCGCAAATAATAAAAAGAAACACATAAAATAAAATAAGAAACCCGGGACGTTTCGTAGGGATCACACCCGCATTTTCAACCGGCAAAACAAGAAAAATTGAAAGAAAAGACACTATGAGCCTCACCGTTGTTAATGTGAGACTCAATTGATTTTCTTTTAATTTTTCTTGTTTTGCTGGTTGAAAATGCGGGTGTGATCCCTATGAAACGTCCCGGGTTTCTTATTTTATTTTATGTGTTTCTTTTTATTATTTGCGGCCTTAGTCCCATTTTAAGTTGTTTTTCTGTTAATGTTTCGGGCCAATTAAGTTGTTTTTTCTATCTTTGAAATAAAATTATCTTGTCCTTTAATTTTTTTTATTTTAGGTTCAGAACTGTTAGTAAATGTCAGCGGCAAGTTTTGCAGAGCATGTTACCGTTTCATGAAAACTGATGAAGATGCAGAGACTCATTGTCGCACAGTGTTACATTATGAAAATTATCGGATGTTCGCCAAACTGCAGGTGATTTATCAATCAAAGCATCACTCATTTTAGTCAATTTAAAATTTTGTTAGAATCAGCTCAGTAAAATTTTAATATACTTAATGGCTATCAGTAGGCCGGTAAAAATCCTTGACAAGCCAGTAGTCATCAGAGATAAGGAACTACAACTGTGCCTCCCAAGCTCCTGTTCACATCACTTGTGAATCATATATAATTTTTGAAAACATAACGGAATGCTTCCTAAACCTCAAAGAATCTTTCTTATCCTTCTGGAGGTTCCTAAATGAATCCCATTACTTATTCCTTGGACAATTTATAAAGCACACGCATGCATTACTCTATTTTTGAAGCTCAAGTATTACCCATTCTTTAATTCATCCTGGGACAGCATCACACCAATCAACTGGATTTAATCTCAGTCAATGAGCACAGCAAGAAGGGGTGCTAAGAAATTAAAACAGATCTATCAAGAATCTTTGCATTGTTCAGGATTAGTGCCTGGTGTAATACGGCAGTTTAAACACATAGCCCCGAGCCCTCTATGTGCTATATGCACATAGCTGAGAATCTTGCCCAAGACATCCCACAGCACCACGTTCGATTCTTAACGTCATTGTAAAGAAATAGAATCGGAATTTTTCCTAAGTTTTCTGTGTTAAGTAACCTGTTTTTCTGTAACTGACAGAATTATCATGAAATCAAATCTAAGCTTGCTTCAATGATGCCATTACTAAAGAAAAATGTATTGTTAGAATAGGGGTTTTAACAGGACTAATGAAAATTATCGTTGCACGGAAAAAGTCGTTAAATCAACGGTCATTACATTAAGATTCATGTATTGCCTCTCAATTTTTGTGTTATTGATAATCACATACTGTTTCTCCTTCTGATTCCTTCAATGCAAGTATTATTCTTCTCATCTAAAATCAGTAAAACCAATTCGTAGAGATTCAATTTTTTTGTTGTTTTTCTACCTTTTTCTCATCCCCCAATCTTAAGGACCGAAACTGAAAAAGAAAAATAAAATTTCTCAAACTACCAAAACTTCAGTTCCTTTTAAACGTTTGAATAGAAGCTTGAGAGTATTTATCAGAATTGGTCCTTGACTATTTTACAGCACGCTGTATCAGCAGATAAGAAAGCGTCGAATTTGAAGACAGAAGGCGGTGAAGAAAATAACGTCACAGAGAGAGCTGAGGAAGAAGATGAAGAAGCAGCAGGAGAAGATGAAGAGGGTGCTGATGACGTGAAGAAGGAAGTTGATGATGTCGAGGTAAGAGATTCAAACAGTAGGTGCAGCACCAGGGAAAAGCAGAAAAATCTGTGAGCTTTGAATAATCAAAAGAAGTTCACTGTATCACTCTACTGTCGTGAAATGTTTAGATTTGAGTCTTGTACAATTTCAATTTTTTTCATTCTTCAATTTTTTTTTCTTTTTCATTTATGATACATTGCTTTTAAAGCCATATGTACCTCTTTTCATCTGTACGAATGACAGGCTTTCTTTATTAGCAACCCTCTATGGCATGAGTTAATTTTGAATTCTGGGGAACATAAATCTATGTTGTAGCTTTCTTAGAAAAGTGGAGTCAATTTTTTTTTCTCAAAATTTCAAATTTTTGGTAATAATTTTCTCAAAAAGAACAAAATACTAATAATAATTTGCAAAATCATGCCACCAAAGAAAAATTCAATTTTTAATATACTGAAAAATGCGTCGTTACAAATAATTAACGCCATGCAGTAGAGGGATAAGATACAATTATTAGCCTGTACTGTGTGTAGTGAGGACAATAGAAATCTTAAAATAATTAAAAATGCGAAATGCTACAGATCTCTTTCGATAATTTTTAGATGCAGAATGGTGGTGGGGAGAATGAGAACCATGAGAATGACACCGAAGCCAATGAAGAAGTGGAAATGGAGGCTGAAAATGAGGGGAAGAAATATGATCCACTAGAGCCAACTGATGACGCCACCGAATCTTCAAAAGGTGTCGATTCAGAAACGAAATCGAACAAAGGGAAAACACCTCCAAGAGCGACCGCACAACGTGGAAGGAGAGGCGGAGTTGCCCGCAGAGGACGCAACTAAAGTCATCCAGCATCTACGTCCTCCATTATTTTTACATTAATGGACCAAAAATTGTGTAATTTTTAAATTTTATTCCTTTCTCTTTTAACCTCACGAAAGTTTGTTACGAATGAACAAAAACAAAGCTTGAAGTTCAATTTTTCACATCAATAGGTGGATTACTATTGATAACAAAACTGTATGTAGGTATGTAAGCTCATCTTAAATTATAAATAAATTCTATGGTATGCCTTTGCATTTTATTTGTTTGTTTTTCTGTGTCCCTCTTAAAATATGAGTGAAGCTAGGAACTTTTCTGATTTCAACTTTAGAGCTATGAATAGACTACATTTTGCAATAAAAAAACTACTAAATATTTCTGGCTCATCCATAAAAGCACCTATCTGCCCGAGGAAACTAATCAAATCAACGTCGTTTTTGAAGTGAATCGGAAAAAGTTGTTTCAAATTGCAAAATGTTGTCCTAACGGACTCAAGATTTGTATCAGACTCACTTCAGCGATTGACAAGTGCAAGTCTAACTTTAAAAAAAAAAAGCTGTACCCACTATACCTTTGGCAAAGGACCGAGGCAAGAGGGCTGGAATTCTTACACAGGCCTGTCAATGCTGGATGTTGTCATGCAGTTTCAATTGTTTTCTTATTAATTTTTGTGTAATTTTAGTGCTAACGCCTGGTAAAGCAACCAGACAACTCCACCAAGTCAGGGTTTTTTGCATAACTTCTCAAAAGCCAAAAGACACCAAGGTTTCTACCAAAATTTTATTTTGAATTTTCCTGATGTTCACCTGCTAAATTGAAAAAAATTCCTTGATTTTTGGAGCGAATAAATTGACACTTGTTTGATTTGACAAAACAACATATCAATGGCGCAAGTCAGCAACCACGTATCTCGTTTCCGTTGCTTGAAAATTTCTGCCTCTATATCATGTTTTTAAAGGAGAACAAATTGAAATCATTTCTTGAAGTTTTCGCAGAATTTTCTTCGCTTAGAGAAGAAAAATCTCGGCAGTTTTAAAGACTTGCTGTCGAGTAGTTATCCATTTAAAAAATGAAGTATAACAGGAGGTCTGTGACGTCGCAAACCGAGATACATAGTTGCAAACTTACACCGGCAATATACATAGGGTGTCCCAGAAGTACTGCTCTCTGCCCTGTTTTGAAAAAACAGTAAGAGCTACTGATATGCGGTTTAGACAGGTCTCTAAATTGAATCCTTAGCTTGAAAACCAGACCAAGTGCAGGTCTCTAACTTAAAAGTTGCTAAAGTTATATCATTTCAAAGTTGACATGTAAAAATTGACTCTGGCGTTTTTCCGGCACTTTTTTAGTACAGTTCTCTGACTTTCAGAACATGATTTACCAACATTTTGTCACGGAAAATGAGACCATAAACATAGAATATTACTGTATAGTCTTGCAGCAACTCCAGAGACACATCAGAGGGAAGCGTCCATAAATTCGCAGAATAACCTGGCTTCTGCATCAGGATGATGCGCGACCACACATGGCAAAGTTTACGCAAGAATTCATGGAGCGAAAGAGTGTTGTTTGCCTCCTAAACCCCCTGTGCAGCCCAAACCTGGCTCCGTGCTATTTTGGCCATTTCCAGAACTTAAACAAATTTAAGAGGCAGAAGATTTAACCCAATCGAAGATTTTCAGTCTGCTGATCAAAATTTCTTAAAATCCATCCCTTCAGAAGAATTCGAGAAAACATTTCTTGTCAAGTGGAGAGAATGATTGGAACTTTGCGTCAAAGGTGAAGGCAAATTCTTTGGAAAGGTCAATGTTGTATACTCATCAGACAAAGAGAATTAACTTTCCAAATTTCAGTAAGTTTTATTGTTAACTTCTTTGAGTAAACGGGTTTTTTTCTCTTTTAGCTACTTGCATTTTTTTTCTTACTGGAAAAGAGTGCCGGATAAACGCCATGGTCAATTTTTACATGTCAACTTTGAAATGATATAACTTTGGCAATTTTTAAGTTAGAGACCTGCACTAGGTCATGTTTTCAAGTTAAAGATTCAATTTAGAGACCTGTCTAATCTGTATGTCAATAGCTCTAACCGTTTCACAAAACAGGGCAATTGGTGCAGTACTTTTGGGACACCCTTTGTAAAATGAATTAAATTAAATGTTTAAAAAATGCTTGAAGCACTCAGAATTTCCTAATCTATAGTCGATTGTCCTTATATTTTCCTGTTATACTCATTAATCTCCTCGAGGATCATGTATATGAGCACATGACAATAATAATAGAAGTTAATAAGACCTATTTTATGCAGGTCTTTGGGAAACAGCACCCTTTTTTATTTTTTCCCTATTCTAAAAGACTGATGATATAGTTTGTTGCTTATTTTTATTGAAAGTTACAAAATATTTATGTTTTTCCAAAAAAACATTGAAAAACTCAACAGTAATCACAATTTTATCAATATCAATCCCGCTACCTCTCTTACATCAGCTGGGTGGTTCATTTTATGCTTAAAAAGAAGTTCTTTGTAAAAACAGCGGATGTGGACAACTAAACAAGGAAAAACTGTGAGTACAAAGTGAACAAAATTTATTTGTTTAACAATCAACTGAAAGAGCACAACTCTCAGTGCAACAAAAATCAGACAAAAATATAGAAACTAGAACATACTGAATTGATAGACAAAACATTTTTACAAGAAGGTGGACTTTTTCTCTTTTTTCTGGCCTTTCACCCAAACTTTACCGCGTAACTCTCGAAGTCTTCTCATTTCCTCAGTAAAATCTTGATGCTCATCTCGGAACAATCCATATTCTCTAAGTTTACGTATAAGCCATCCCATTTTCACATGTCGAGGGTAATATGCAACAAATAAAGGATTTTTGTAAACAGGCAACTGGCTATGCAACTGAACAACCTGGAATATAGAAGCAAAGTTTAAATAATACGCAACCTCCAGTAAAACATTGTTGCCTAAACTATGATAGCGCTTATAGGACTGATCTTATAGTGAAAAGGCAAAAGTGTTGGTTCTAACATTCTGAGTGAGAAAAACTAAAAGGGCAACAGTCCGCCATCTGACTCCTGAAATCAGTGAGAAGCCTGTGTCTGCCAAGCTTTTTCTTCCCAAATACACAACAAACTGGTAGAGCTGCTGCCACTTTCAGGTGCTTTACAGCTTCTGCTAGCATCTACAGTTCAAATTTCCTGCTTCTGATAAAACTAAGAATCTGCTCACAAAAGTGACCGTGAAGGATATTCCAAATCAAATGGCGAAAAGTAATTCAGGGATATTTTCTTTAGACCAAAATAAAACTACATATTTTGCTTCATGACATTTGTTCGTTCAAGCCATTCTAGAAGGGGTTACATTTTAGGGGGGGGGGGGGGGGGGCGCATAGACACCTGCATGTAGGTAAACCAGGCAAAACCAAACTAAATACTAAAAACTTAAATATATTAAATTAATAGATGAAAAGAAGATATTTAACAGTTATTAGCAATAGAGAAGGAGAGGTAGAATAAATATATATTAATCATTAGCAATGGAAAAGGAGAGGTAGAATAATATATACATAAAGAAATATGATCAGTAATATTTAAGTGCAAGTCCTAGATTTTTAGAATGTCTGATAAAAGGGTTATTACCAGCGCCCTAGGGTTAAGGGTACCTGCACGTTTTCATTTTTTACTTTCTTAATCACAAGAAATGTACAAGAGCATAAAACTTTCCATGTACCTTCCATAATTTTGTTGATAACTGCAGCTAAAATTTAAAAAAGAAAACAACTTTTCTTCTTGAAACTTGGAGGTGTCACATCCAGGCCCACCACATCCCATCTCGGGCCCTGGTACCAATTTTCTGGCCCGGGCCCCTAGCACAGGGGGGGATCCGGGGGGGCCCCATCCGGGAAATTTTTGAAATTTTAGATCTATTTGGACGCATTGTGAAGCTCTTATGATGGAGATTTTCCATCAATTTCTGCAGTATAATTATGCCTTTTTGTTTACTTTCAGCACCAAAAACTTTCGAATTGTTGCATTCAAAACATCTATAAATTTTTTTTTTTGAAGGGGTAGATGATAATTTTCAATTCTATGGGGAGCCGGGCCCCCCTGGACTCCCCCTTGGTACGTCTATGGCAAGGGAGTTAAGCCATTGAAGTCGAGGATGCCCAGAAAGAAGCCTCTTAGCATCCGACAACGGAATAAAATGAAACACAGTTACTAAAAATATCATTCTACATATACTCAATATCTTGAAAATCTCTAAAAAAGTAAGAAAAATTTAATAGTGCCCTAGCGTGTTTTTGAAACTTTATTCACCTTTTGCGGAATTTTTAGGGTAATTTTTTCACTTTTCCCTACGAGACAAGGGTTACACATGAATTCGTAGTGGTTTGTCACCTGCGTCACGGGCCCCGGTACCAAGGACCCAGTACCCCCCCCCCCCTTGTGGCGGGCCTGGTCATATCCCCCTTCACAATGGCGGAAACAAAAATAAATCTTTACAATAAAATATTGAAGTTTTTTGGTGGTCAGGAAAATTGATTCCGAAAGTTTTCGTCATTCGATTGGGGCACCTTTCATACAATCTTGCAGGGAAAACCAACAGTAGCCTTTCTGGAAGGGTCTTGTTCTATGATATTATGGTTAAATAGCAGTAATAAATAAAAAAGACAGGAACGAATAACTCACTTTCATTGCCTTGTTGGGCGTTGGTCGTACAACTTCACCAAAAATCTGATTGCTCAAGTGCGTGATTCTAGAGGCATAAGGTGTTGTCAACTTTGTCAGGTTCTTATATTGGTACAGATGGTGCTTCATTGTGAGTTTTTGCAGATGGGCTAAAAGAAAAAAAAAGCCAAGGATGATTAACCAATTTAACTTCTCTTAGATGTTCTTTTTCTATCCATGTTTATGTTAAAAGTCCATACGCTCTCTGGAACATGATCTGAATAAAACATAAGGTAATGCATTGTCTCTGGTAATGCAGAAAGTACTACATTATTTCGGCCATCCGTCACCAGGGTTTTCTTGTAGTAAAAGTATAGGTAGTTTTATTGGCGTAATGTAGTTGAATCAATTGGCGGCATTGAAAAGTAAGAATAAAAAATAATCAGAGTAACCATACACATAAATACACTGATACAGAAAAAATGAGCAGACAATTAATGAAATGAATGAATTTCAGTAAGTAAGAATGGGATATAAATTAATGCAAAAATGATCAAATTCCGAAATAATACCCAGCTTTCGTACTACTTAGACATGAATAATTATGTTTATGAAATCATGTCATTTTAAATCAATAAAATGAGCAAAAATAAAACACTCTCAAAGGAGAAGCGGTGAAACAGACGCACGGGAATACTCATAGAGGGCTGGACGAGCGTACGGACTTGCTAAGTTAGGGAAGAGTTTTCCCAAATACTTTTGGTCTGTGCCGGTATAGGGAAGGTCCGCAAAACTTGGACAGCAATGCTTAGACACATCTACACTACTCTCATTGTTAGTAATTGTTTAGAACAATAGGCAGGGGCTATGAATATTTTTCTGGCTTTAACATCAAAATTTCCTGATGCAAACTGATTGCGGTTTCCTGCACAAGTTGTGCAGACAGAAAGTTGGTAATATTTTGGCCAAAGTGCGTAAGAGTTCAGTTACTTAAAAACAGAAAACCTCCATACACAGGGAAAAAGCTTAATTGAGCACAATTTTCCTTCAAAGAGATATGCTGTGTGGCGCAATACTGATCACGACCATTCGAAAAATTAAGAAAATACAGGAGGCTGCACTGCACAGATAATGCATCCAATTAGACCCATAACGCGTCTGCTGTTGCTCTCCTGAAGAATGGTCGTAACTAGTGTTGCACCGAACAACATATTTCATAGGGGGAAAACTGTACTTACTCAAATGAGCTTTTTCCCTCTGTATTGAGATCTTCAGTTCTAAACTGAACTCAAACGCATATTGGCCAAAAAGTTACCAACTTTCTGTCCGAAAATTTCCTGAGTTTAATAATCTCACTAATGCTAGACATGGCACATCATTACGATCTTAGGCGAAGCTGGGAATGAATCACTCCCGCAGGCTGATTATTGAAAGTTAAAAGCAGCCCGATATGACATCGAATTGCGATATTTTGCATTGTTGAGATATGGCTGTGTCTTGTCGTGTTGGGCTGACATAGTTTCAATAGTCGGGCCGCTGGAATAGATTTTTACATACATGAATAAACCTCCAGTTGAAGTTCGACGGAATCTTCATAGAATTCCTAGAATGTGAGAAATTATCTATGGATCGATTTGTTAGAGAATCATTATGCCAGTGCAAAATCCACCATAAGCATAAGTTAATTGTAATTGATATAATATGAAATTACCTAAAACCAGTGTGGGAATCAAATATGTGCTGAGCACTTTTCAACACATCTATTCAGTTACAAACACGGATGAGTGAATTGTATTCTAGAACCATTAACAATTACTTTCACTACGCTTTTCATTTCTTCATTTCAACTTATTCGTACATAAAACACATCATCACAATAAAACAATAACTATTAGATTAGATTATGATTGATCGGTGCATCAGTTCATCAATTCTTCTGATAATGAGAAAGAAGTGACTGATATCCATAGAGTACACTGATATCTGATATGCTGCTGATACGACAACAGGAGAACAGGAGTGCTTGCGGTGCCACCATGGGGCCACACACGGGAGACATGAGGCGACCAAAAGTGAGACTCTGGTTATTAGGTACTCTAACTCTGGTGCGCGCGCAGTTCGCATGTTTTAATGGAAACTACGCGGGAGATTCGAATCGCAGGGGAAAGTTGTGCTATTTATTATGATGACAACAGATTCTGCGAGTTCCAGAATACTTTCTCTTACACATACAATTTTTTAAAGTAAGATTTACGTTAGCAAAGTGTTAAAAAATCAGTTTATTATTTTTAAGAGTTTTTTTTTACAATTATTTTACTTAAATTTAATGAATGATGAAAGAATCTCAAAGGATCGAAACCTACCTATGGCTAATTTTTACCTAACACCCCCTGATGAGGTCCATCATGATACCGTCATTACCACCAAGTAGATGCAAGTTCCACTGTGAACTTCAGTTGGCCAATAAAAATGCCAACGATGAAGCTACTACTGTCTTCATATCACAACTCCAAATAGTAGATATTCTATGGCACAGTTAAAACTGTATTCATCATTCCTCGATTAATGCAAGGTTGACTGTTTGCATGGAAATGATAGTACTAAAGTTGGCTTATGTATTTTCCTGAACTTTAGATTAAGTTGATGTGGCAAGTTTTCGTTGGCAAGAACTATTGGCATACAGATTTTGTGTCTATGGTCTATTTTTTATTCTTTCAGAGAAGCATTAATATTATTTAATATTTGAAACAAAATTCTCTGGGTTCTCCGGAATACTATGCCACCTCTTACCAAGAATGTCTATGCTAATGTTGTTGCTATTATATGGTGATGGAAGAGGTAATTTTGGTAAAAGTCTGACAAATATCTGGATGCCAACCCGTGAAAAATGTAACCTAATCAGTTACAACCAGAGCGCAAGTGCAACGAAGACATGGCGCTTGGCGCACAGTAGGTAGCACAGGCTTCTAAAAGTAGTCGGACATGAATTGTTTGGATACAGTTCAAGTAAAATTGCTTTCAATGTTTACCTAGTCACAAATTGTCAGCGAGACTTTACAAAGAAAATTTGACGAGAAAATTAATCGAACCACTTTGAAACTTCTGCCTACCATGCTTTGGAAGATACAAGCTTAAAACATTTTCATATCATGCTCGACCTCTCCCATTCACTCACTCCACTGTTTAGCAGTGCGGCACCTTATATGCTTTTTCTAGATCAGAGTAGGTAGCTAATGGTTAAGGGTCTAAAAAAGTCCAAAAAAGTGGTCTGAAGAAGGACGCAGTCTCTGATAGGCTGATATTCTTTGTCGATTCCCATGTGAAATTTCCGTCGAAAAAACTTAAAATAGTTATTCCCATGATCGAACTTCAAAAATTTCTAGTTTGGAAAGGATGAGGGGCACCAAGTGATTGGACTTTGTTCTTGCGTTTGGCAATCAGGTTACTGCAGTAAACAGTATCATGCTCAGATTAGAGACAACAAATACAAAATTAGTATCCCTATGCAATTATGCATATTGACAGTGTAAGTCAGCAATTACATAACTCGGTTTGAGACATCGCAGACTTGCCGTCATACTTTATTTTTTAAACAAAAAACTACTCAAAGCAATTCTTTAAAATTGCCGTGATTTTCCCTCTCTGCGCGAAGAAAATTCTGCAAAAACTTCAAGGAATGACATCAATTTGTTCTCTTTTAAACAAATGACAAAGAGGCAGAGATTTTCAGACTCGGCAAACAAGATGTGTGATTGCCGACTTACACCGTCGATATACCTGAGTACCTAAGTGATTTTACAGTTGAGCCAGAAATGGTATAATCTAGGTTCCTATTACAATCTACTCATGAAAATTATATAATTCTCATTGAGGGGGATTCTCAAAACAGGCAAATAGTAGCAGTTGAAGTAAAATAAAAAATAAACATACTTATAACAAAAAGAACAGTGTTTTTATTGACTTCAACATACATGATTCAGATTTTTTAAAGTGCTTGCTTAATATTTCAGAAATTAAAGTATAAAAATAGTGTATTTCCTTCAAAAAATACACTATAAGCCACAGTTGAATTATTAATAGATGCTCGAACATAGGTGCACTGAGTATCCTGAGTTCTCCTTAGATTCTTTGATTTGTTAAAGAAGTCTTGATTTTTTTTAGGGAGACTGTTGTGTACCCGATTTGGTAACTCTGTTACATCTTTGACACCTTGTGTTGTGCTACTGAAAAGACATGCTTTTTCCTGAACTCGTGTGCTTTTCCTTTCCCAATATTTCCTCAGATATTCAGATACAACATTGGCAGGATGGAAAAATATTTTTCTAAGAAGTCTGTGGATTTTAAGGTGTAGGATGAAGAATGTTAGAGGAAAAGTAGGTATAAGCTTTCGTAAGAGGTGAGCTTTATCACATTAAGGTTGCGATTACATCACATCTATTTCACAGGTAGAGTTGTATGGATCATTCTTTATCACGACACTGTCATAACTGCTTATTAGCCTGGGCTACAAAATTAAAGAATGAGATCTGTGCAAGATGATTTTCACTCAAATGGCACCAACAAAAAATCAAATGTTGCATATGAAGCAGACAAAGTTGGTGAGTGTGTTGAAAATGCAATGTGACTTACAAAAATGGATCTTGGAGCTGTCCTTTTGATGCGCTTCTAGCCAGGAAATAAAACAAGATATTTTGTTGATAACCCAAAAATTGTATCTTAAAACAGAATTGAAAGCTTAGAAACAGAAATAATCTACTAAATCTTATACATGTAACCGACAGGCATTATTTTACTGTTTTGATTGGATTGATAGCGTCAATCAACTCATTTGGAGAGGTGACAGGCAGTGAGCAAGTTTTGGATTTGCAGGTGTAAGCAGCCTGAGAATTTTCCACAGCTTTCATTTTCTTAATTGTTTCATTCTTCTTGTAGAGAACACTGTCTTCTGCACCGTTTGCTAGAATCAGCACGCGGTCTGGTACGTAAACACTGTGGACTGCCTTCAACAGAGCACTCGTTTCAGCATTCTCTGTCTTGCCTGTGACATAAATCTGTGGAAGTACGGGAACATGAGATTATTTTTGAGACAGATTCGTTTAAAATTGGACGGATTTAAAGGGGATCAGCCTTGCACTGACTTATTTTCTCTTATAAGTAACCTCTTTAATAGAGAACTGAACTGCTTTACGCCTTTAAACTTTCTGCAAATTGCTCACAAAATTTCAGATTTCAGTTTTACTTGGTTTTCTGTTTCAAAAATAAAACATCAGAGAAAATTAGGCTACGTCTGATCCAGTAAAGCTGATTCCTCTTAAATGTGTCTAAATGGTGTCTAAAGCAAAATTAAGATTCAGTCAATTTTGAAGGTTTGACATTTCTGACGTTTTTCCCATAAAAAATGGCAAAATACAATACATATTCGTACGAAAATACGAATTTATGTACTTCATAACGACTTTTTTGAAGGGGATTAAAAGTAGTACGTTCTTTCCAGACAACAAGAAAAAACTGGCTAGGACTTGAAAAAATGAATGCTGCACTGGTAAAACATAATGAGATACGACTTTAGCAAAATTATTAGAACAAAAATCGTTCAATTATTCACTCTTTTTAAAAATTTGTAAGTGTGGAGGGTCGAATAAATTTTTACACAAGTTAAATTTTAAAAAAATTGGAACATGAGGCTTCTCAATTTTATCTCAAGAAATGTTTGAGGACATCAATGAAAATCACAAGACACATGGCCTCCTCATTTTTACTTTCAGAAGACTGAGGCAGGAGGCTCTTTTTTCCAAAGTTGCCAAAAATGATTAGATCTTACTTTCAGGACTTAAAATATCGAGGCACCATCCTGTCCCCGGAAGTGCTGTGAAAAACAAAACATTCAGCACAATCTTCTTGGGACTGGAATGTATGCACATGTAAATGACATCTAGCCACAAAACAAAATTGCTAAAAAATCTTCTGAACATCCCTCTTAAATGAGAAACTAATCCAAAAACTCATAAACTTACTAAAGTAGGAGAGCTATGGTACATGATGAGAGCACACAGTAATTGAGTGACAGATGTGGGCACTCTTGTCATCCTACTTGTGAATGCAGAAAGAAGTTGCTTAGCTTTCTCATCTAATTCATCACTATCAAATATCGCCGACAGCCGGACCAAATTCTTAGCCGCTATGGAGTTGCCTGATGGTTCTGCTCCATCATAATCTAAAAACAAAAGTAAATTTTGATATTTTTTGCAAGGCTTTAAAAATTCCTTTACAGTACTACATAAATCTTAATTAAACTGAGACACGTTATTTTAAATTCATAAATAAAAAGAGACCTGAATGATCTGTTCCTCTTAAGAAAAGGAAAATTAGACAGAGGAAAAAAAGATACCTTCAATATATGAAAGACTGACATATCACTCACCTCTTTTTAATCTCAACAAATTATTTTGAGCATCACCGACTGCAGTGTCAAAGTAACCAAATCCTTCTGTATCCCAAAATAGATTGTTTTGAATGGTTTGTAATTCTAAAGCCCACTCGAGCCATTTTGGATCAAAACAAGTCTCATACAGGTCTATCAATCCTTGAATTAAGAACGCATAGTCATCCAGGAAACCAAACACTGGTTCAGGTCTGTAAGGAAAAATGGGCTGAAATTAGACTGTTAGTGGAAAAAATGTATAAGAGCTACTTTGCGGGGATTTGTTGAGAGACATTTAAAACATCTTACTTTCCTTCAACATACTGCCCAAGTGCCCAATAATAGATGTAAAAGAAACCACTTTATGTGCAGTGTTATTCAGGCTTTCCCTTGAAATCGTTTTATGGTGGTCTGCTTATCCATCTTGAAATGCTTGTATGTACCTTTCTTTAATCCTTATATTTTTCTGAGGGGGTTACTGTTAACTCATACGGAGTTTTATTGAGCAGTAGTTACCAGTTAACTATTTGGGAATGAATTTAATAAATAACACAGTTTGTTCAAGAACTTTCTTTCCAAGCCCCGGTGTGAGCCGAAGTCTGTTCAAAAACATACCTATTCTGCCTGGAAAACTTTTGATAAGTGGGAGATATAACCCAGCAAAAGTCGAAAAAACAAAATGAGCAAGAATTACATACTTAAATAAATAAATAAGGCCCAAAACGGGCCTGTTTTGTTTTGTGTATTCACAAGCTGTACCCCAATTTTTATGTGTTGTCATTATAAATGAATAAATATACAAACATAAACCTGTAAATAACGATAAAGCACAAAAACATAGCCCGAATTTATGAATAAATAAGGGGAGAATTAAAACATTGATAAACAAGGCTAAAATATTAAAAACACTAGAAGGCAGGACGTTTCGAGCTGTTACCAGTTCATTTGCAGCTGCATTTTTATGTGTTTTTTTGCAGCTGAAAATGAACTGGTAACAGTTCGAAACGTCCTGCCTTTTAGTGTTTTAATGTTTTAGCCTTGTTTACCCATGTTTTAATTCTCTTCTTCTTTATTAAAGCTGTAAACAAGAACATGAAAGGCACGCAAATTCATCATTTACTCATAATGATTGATGCTCATTGCATGGTCTTTGACCCAGGTCTGACATTAGCGGGGAACCATAATAAAATACCTCCTTCCAATTCAGCCATACCATTAAACAGTACTATTACTACAGTACTATTGAACATGTCACATGAAAAAAAAGCACCTCTGCCTGTGAATTGAATTACTTTATTCTGTTCATGATTACGTACAAAATAATGAGTGAATAAAATACAGAGCTTAACTTCTTTGTAACTTTATTTCAAAATTAAGATAAGATGTTAAAAAACTGAATTATTAAACTTTGCTCTTAAATTTGCTGAGCAGAAAGTTCCTAAAGGAGGAATTGTTGTTTCCCAAAAAGCTTTGGAAGGCATAAATTGACTGAATGTTGACTTACACTTGGGTGATACATCTGTTGCTGTCCGTGTAACAACATCGAAGGAGTTGCTTCTTTTCACTGCACCAGAGATGTTTCTTCACAAATTCTGCTGCTTGACAAGCACGATTTTTGTATTCTTCAGAATGAAGAGCTTGCGAAGCCTTGGCGCAGCCAGAAATCATTAAACCTGCATGAGAGAGAGTTATAAGTACACGGTAAGTACATCAGAAAGAAAAGCCTTGCAATAAGAGCCACTTGAACAAAATCTAAAATAAAGTGCAGAAGGTCTCAATCTGCAAGTATAATTTTACAAGATTTCAGATAGAGATGACAGATTTTTAGGAACATGGAGGTTTTGAGAAAAATATGATTTTTGCACTATTCTTTCTTTCTTTCATGCATATAGTGAACAATTTAAACGATTTCCCATTATTCTGGACACTGTCAAGCAGTCCTAATACCACAGCAGTCGAGGTATAGAACAGCTTGAATGTGCGCCTGCAGGCTGATTATTGGATGTTTAAAGAAGCCCGAGAAAACATTGAAATTCGATACATTGCATGGATAAGAGAAGGCTATTTATTGTCTGACCGTGCAGTTTCAATATGTAATTTGGCTATTGGGATGAGAAATAGTACTCAAAAGGGAGAATAGCAATGATTAAACCAATAAAGTTGCCTGATAGAACTTTTGTATTCATAAAACCGTAACAATACTAAATAGAAATTGTGACTTTTGGGCACCAAGGATTGGCTGGGCAAGTGGTAAAGCTTGAACTGAGTCGAGAATTGAAGTAAAGTACAGTAGATCCGCCCCTGAGGCATTGAGGTCTGCTTTTGAAAACTATCATTCAATCCATCTTGGTGTTGAACATTAAACATAATTAAGAAAACGATACAGCAGACTGATAATGCAAAAGCTCAAGGATGGCTTCCTGGGTCCGGACTTTGTTGGCAGGTTAGCAATCCGTCATAAGTTGAAGCAAAAATGTTGACTCTGTTATTTTGCTGTTGATTGATGGTTTGCACCGTTCAGAAACTAAGAATGGCTCAAGTTTGTGGTAAAAAAAGCTCAACTTGCGAACAGCTTGAGTTTATAATATAATTTTTCCGATTTATAGTCGAATTTAGAGGTCGCCTTTTGCAACAATTACGGTAAAATGGAGCTGACAAAATTTGAGCCTCAGTACTCCTCTACCATTTAGAGTTCAAAAAAAATGAAGAAATTAGATAAAGTATTCTATGAATTGATTTGATTAACAAGTGGTTGCAGCACATGGGATACCTTATTGGCATCAATATTTTAATAAATTTTTCAAAGCTCTCTCATTCAGAACCCTTTTCAGGAATGATTATTCTTTAATTTAGAGGGAAATGAGAAAAACCTCTATCGATGTATGTTCACAGCAATCGATGTTCAGATAACTGTTGCTGAGCACCAGCTAAAATAAAAGGAAATGTCTAAAGGTTGTTGTCTGGGGTAAAATCCTCAGTAAAATCTTGGTAAAATTCTGTCATTGGAAAAGTTTTTGTACGGGTTTCAAACTGGCCTCTACAAATTTACCTTCAGGGGACAAAATTACAAATTCCGCAGATTGACAGATGATTAAAATTTAACAGTTTTTCAATTTGAACTTCCAATTATGTGCACTCAAATAGTGTTAAATACTATTTTGACTATTCAGAGGGGAAAAAAAATTTAGTCACCATTCCAAGAGGTGAGAATCTTATCATCCAAAGAGGGCTTTGGTCGCTTCAGTCGTTCCTCATATAGTATCTTTTTTGATTCCTCAAGATCTGCCTTAAGTTCCTCCAGAGAAAGTTCAAACTTTGAGGCTGTCTGAGTATCACTCCCACTGACTATCAAGACATTCTGCCCAAACAGCTCATTATTAGTTTGCTGGAACAAAAATAATGTTCTTAGAGTTAAATAGAGTTACTAATTAACAAAAATAATATGATATTTTTATGATCAGGGGTGTTTTCTAAGGTGTAATAATTTGAAGTATTTATTTAAAGTCGTTTTTACATTAAAATTAGAATAGAAAATAATGAAAGGTTCTTTCTAGCTTTAGTTTTTTTTGGCTTCAGCCTATTCTTCCCTTTAATATTTTTAAGGCTCCCTTCATCACAGCTGCACCTGCTGCAGACGCACCATCACAGCAATGCCCGGTTGGCCGCCCTTCCAAATTTTGGCATGATTCCCAGCTGAGGAAATAAACTTATTGAGTGGTAGACTTATTAAATCATCTTCATATTTACAAAAGTAAAACTTTAGAGGTGCAGGTTTCTTTTGCAATGTGGAAGGCACAGAAGCCCATTTGCAAACGGGTCATTTTTGTAGCTGTATCTTCAATGACCAATAGACAAGGTCTAAACTAGAGAAAGGAATCACACATTCGCTCTTTAAAATGAATTAAATAAATAATTCATACAATGGGAAGTTTGAGTATAGTTTCCCGAGCGATATATTACCAGGTACTTTTGACACAAATAAAATGAAAGTTAGATTGTACAAATTACATCATTTGTATTTTTGCAGTTGAACCAAACTGCAAACACTTATATCTTGTCTGAGATTGATTTTTAGACTTCTCTTTGTAAGATTCATTTCCTTCATGAAATATTGAAGAGAAAAAATGTTTTTCAAGCGCAGTTCTTTAAATCATACTTTGTACAGGGACCCATTGATCCTCAGGTTCATTGTTCCATGTAGCTGAATTTTTTGTGTGAAAAAATTACCTGACTTTCCGGAGAGTTTCCAGTAGGCTTCACAGTGAAGTAATCGATGAACACATCTTTCAACAATAAATCTGGTTTTGATAAACTAGGCTTAGATAGAAGTTTTTCAATGTCTTTGTAGGTCCAAACACAAAATGCACCTTCTTTTTTTTCCGGAGCCCCGTGCACAGGATATGAGTCAGCATCTTCAGCACTATAGAAGCCGCCTTCCTGTAAAGAGATAGAAAAATAACTTCCAGAGCGATATTATACGGTCTCAAGAGCTGAATGAATCATTTTCACAAAAATACTCTTGTCCAAAAACGCTCAAATATTCTGGTATTTTCATTAAAATGTCTTTACAGTGTCAAAAAATAGTTCATGAGTGTGTGAGGGGAGGGGGTTGAAATCATGAGTCTTTACACAATTGAATACACCAGTAATATCGATGGCCACAGTGCAAAACTACGTACCTCCATTTGCGACGTTGCAGACTTCCTGTCATACTTAATTTTTCCTTTGGAGAGCCCGCCAGTGTACCAGCTAGTTGATTACTGTCGACCAGAAACTTCCTTGATTGGTCTCCTTTGTCAGCAGAATATTCTGTGTGAATTTCAAGCTGTAAAATTAGCTTGTTCCTCTATGAGAAAATAAAATAGGAGCAGAAATGTTGAAACACCGCAGTGGAGATACATTGTTTCACACTTTGGCCATCCATAAATTATTCATCTTTTTTTTAGCTACTTTTAAAGACTGAATGATGTATTAGAAACTGAAACTAAATTGAGGCTGATCTTATAATCAATAGGAATTGAATGTGGACAATCCTAGCGAACATTTGAAACTTACTTTGTGACTTAAATCTCGGTTCACATAATCCATTATATCATTAACAATAACTGCATATTGTTGATCCTTTGTAAGAAGAAAAGCGTTTGAGTAGGCAACAGCTAGTTGAGCTTGATCATACAACATTTTCTCAAAATGGGGAACATGCCACCTTTCATCTGTTGAATATCTGTGAAATCCCTGAAAAGAAGACAGAAATATTAGAAGTGACAAAAATATGAAACTAAAAATATGATTTTTTAACAAATTAGAGACAGTTACAAATTATAAAAATAAACTGATACATACTTAATATACAAATATTTATTATAAAACTTTGAGAGGAGCCTGGAAGCGCTAGGATTCATATGATTGTATAAGTAGTTTCAAAAACCTCTGATATGATCCATAGAAAATTCCAGCCGATACGATACAATCAATTTTCCAAAAAATACAATTTTCACTTAAATCCTTCAGCTCAGTTCTCATCGCTCATATCTTAGGCATCCCAGGTCTCAAAGTAGGATACGGTTACAGTACAGTGCAGTACTTGCGATTTTTTTAAAAATTTGACACAACAGTAAACTTTGTCAGATAATTTTTAATCAGTTTATGTGGCTGTTAGCTAATTTGAAGTTCAATAGACCAAGGGTTTACTTCAAATTAACAGCTTTTTTAAAAAGCTGGATTTCGAATTGTAAAGAACAGTTACAAAAAAATTTGAAATCACAAGATTTTCAAAGTATGCTTTGTTAGAGAAAAATGCGCTCTCCTCAAAAATTTCTCGAAAATTTAGTGGATGGAACTGGACAGTCAATAAATAGTTTCAAAATTGTGAAAACCCAACTTTGCTGCAATTTTCAAAGCTCTTTCTTCAAGAGAAAATTTTTCCTACAGGGATATTTGATGTGCTACACCAGTTAGCGGTTTTTAGACCTTACTGTCATATTTGAGGGACTTGAAGGACAAGGCGCATAAGTGCTCTTTTTGAAAAAATCCAGTTATTAATGATTTCAATTGAAACTAGTCTGAATGCATAATCAGTGAAAAATTTGCTTCCAAATTCCAATGTTTAAACATAAAAAATTCAGTTTGAACTTTCTTTCCGCCTCAAGGAACTATGTAATTTCAAAACTTCAAACAAGTATTTCTTGAAATAGCAAAAATAACACTTATGCGCCTTGTCCTCTAAGCTCCTCATTTCAACTTTGTGTCTTTCTCATACATATGAATTTTTACAGAGCAAGATGGTTTTCGATTTATAGAGTGTGAGGTCCAGAAACTTTGAACTTTGATCGCATTTTGATCCGGCTCCTTCAAATAAACTATAGAGCTGTGAAACAAACCGCTTAGCCACAAAAAATTTGTGTTAACATCAGGACACAGATACACTGATTTTTGCCTAAGTGGTGAGTTTTTTCACAGGGTTTGACCTTGCCTTTGGATTAACAGGTTTTTTAAATTAATGGATTTCAAGTAAACGAGCAGCCACAGTGATATGGTTCTTTTTCGCCTAAATATGTGCGAGAGTTTCAAAAAGTATTTTGTTATGTAATTAGTCATTGATTAATTTGTAACCATATTTTACTGTTTTGGAGACGCGTTATTCAAGAGAAAAGAAAAACATGAATATACATAACTACCTTTCCAACATGGTCATGGATTCCACCTTTTGCCATCATTTGAAGAGTATGAAGGGCCATATCAAAAATTGGTGAGTTTTCTGGATTGTGGGCATAGTAGTGAAATGCAAAATCAAGGTTTGACACTTGTGGGAACTTGGGTGCATAACCAAAACCGCCGTAAGGTTGGTCAAAAGAATCTGCTAATTGAACGGCACAATGTTGCCAAACTTCTTCTCCTGGAACAGATCCCCCTGCAATCTCCCCCGATATCTTGACATCAAAAATAGTGGTTTTCTTCAAAATGTCTATGATTTTATCCCCTGTTCTTAAAAGATCTGCTTTACTTTCTCTCCACTGAAAGAAATACAAAATAAGCATTAGAAAATCATACTACAAACTAGACACTTAAAACAAAACAAATTATGTCGCTCTTTCAGAGGTAACAGGTTTCTGGAGGTCAAGTTGTTAAATACCGACAAGGCAGTTTTCAGACGATTTAGAGAAAAATGCTTTTTTTTTTGGTAATGGACGTCAGGGTATTCAGAGCATTACTTATTCCATGTCAAAATAATTCTTTCACTGAATCGTTGTGGCAAACACATGAATTCTAGACGTTTGCATGCCAAATATCTGAATGATCACAAAATTTTGAGGTGCCTGACAACCCAACTTACATCTAGGTACCTCATTTTGACTTGCAGGTGGCAAAAAAATTGTAAGGTTGCAAAAAAAGAAAAAAAGATACACCAACTTTATAATGCAGTCTCCATTTACTTGCCCCCATTTTCAACATTTGATAAAAAAAAATTAACAGATTAAAAAATTACCTCTTTCTCCAATCTTCGAAGAACATTCTTGAATCCTGGTCTTCGATAGCGATCCTCTGGCGGAAAGTAAGTGCCACCAGCAACCGGCTTCAAATCAGGCGTGAGGAACACTGACATAGGCCACCCGCCATGACCGGAACTGACCTTAAAATAGTGAACAGAATTAGAGTATGTACTCTCCTGCAGCAGTCTCACTGCCTTCTTTCTCATAAAGTCAAAATCACAAAGTATTTAGTGCACACTTGTGAAAAGTCTTGAAATTTTGTCATCAGTTAATTTAACTTCCAGTTTAGGTACCTTGAAAATAGCATTCATTTAATTTACGGAGGAGCAGTGGCTAAAAGTATTACTTCACACACTTTTTCTGGTTTTTTCCTCCTCTTCCGCACTCTTTCACGCCCTCAGATGCACCTGTAAAATGAACCCAGGCAGCCCTTACTTGCCCTTTCCTCCCTTTACCAATGACTAAGTCCAAACCTGAACCTCTCCTTGCAAATTACTTTACATTGGGTAAAAACACGCCTCCCTTTTCATTTCTTTTATGATATAGCCAGTAAATTGTTCCGATTAAATAATTTTGCAATTATTTCTCCTCCCTTGCGTACGAAACACTTATTGTGTTTAATGATTAAATTATACACCTACTTAAACTGTTTGCCAAATACATATTTAAAAGCAACGGCAAGTAGTAGAGATGCTATTGCTCTGAATGTGATCGGTCAAAATGTATTGGGTACCTACCTGAACAAATGCCATGTAAACACTATCCACATCTGGCCTTTCTTCGCGATCTACTTTGATATTGACAAAATGTGCATTCATGATTGCTGCTATCTCTTGATTTTCAAAAGATTCCCTCTCCATGACATGGCACCAATGACAAGTTGAATAACCGACAGATAAGAAGATCAGTTTATCTTCATTCCGCGCTTTTTCAAATGCTTCCTGCCCCCATGGGTACCTATAATAATTTATACATAACTTTTTTATTCCTTTATTTGTACAAAACATAAACTACAATTGTTATGTAAGCATTAAAATCGGCCTTTATTAACGAAATTATGTAAAAATTTGCATATTTTAATATTCAATATTTTTATTGCACATTGCTACTCAGGAGGTTGTCAAAAGTCGCAGAAGTCACCATTCATAGATAGATGCTAAGCTTTGAGCATTGGAGAGATATGTTTGAAACTTTGAACTGGACTGTAGCAGCTCTGCCCTTACACTCTCCAATGACACCACTATTGACATGAGGACCCTCCTTCTCATTATGCAACTAGGCTAACACTGCCATCTCTCATGATCATTTGGACAAGTTTGTTCTTCAAAGGATCTTAAGGGATGTTGCTAAACCTTCTGAAGCAAAAATTTGCACCAGTGTCAAAAAATTAAAAATATTAGTGTCTGGTCTCTAATAGACCACTAAACAAGATACGAATTTCAGCATTCTGATACATGTTTCGTAACTAAAATTTCACGTAGAACACGATGTGCACAATCAAAATTGCCGAAATGAACTCCTTACGAAGATATTAAATGATTCCTGATGTGTGAATTCAAACCACCCGCTCATGAAAACTCAATGCTCTACATGGTTCACATCGCGCGCTAAACGTTACCATGACAGTCTCTGCGATATAAAAATCTGGCAACCTCAATCTTGACACTTTGGCTCAGCTACAGCAAATTGCTAATAGTTTGAACAACACATGGTGGGAAATGAACATTGCTCGATCGAGGAGCTTGCTGAAACCGTTGTAGTGCGCAATTAGACTCACGTAGAGCTTTGAGTTTCTTGTGACCGGGTAGTTCAAATTCCTCGTAACCAATGTGAAATAAAAAAGTTAATATCTTTGTTAGGAGTGGGTTTCAGTAAATTTCGTTGTGCGAATCGTGTTCAACGTAAAATTCTAGTTAAGAAACATATATCAGATTGCTTAAATTCTTACCTTGTCTAGTGGTCCATTGTAAGATAAAGTAAGCAAATTATTTTATAGAACCTCATCCATAATGGTAGAAAAGTTTTTAGAGATATTACTCTTAAAATTATAAAATTTATCTGACATTGTTTATGAATGCTAGGAAGGAGTTCCCTTTCCAATGACCAGTAATTTATGTGAAAGACTTTGGAAGGACCATGCTTTAAGAGAAAAATCCCTTTGAAAATTAAATTAGGTATACTCAGAGTCATCATAAGTAAATAGTTCTTTGAAACCATAAGACCGAGAGGATTGCCTCTACAACTCCAAGCTCTGTATTTCGTGTCCATTTAACTTCAAATAAAAATTCTTCTTCGCAATAAATTCACCGACCAGTCCACAGGATTCTCCGCGTGCTGCAATAAATATGGTGACTTTTCTTGAGCTAGCCGGTTTTTTTTCTTGACAGTAGTGGATGAAGCCATGATTTTGGGACCTTCTTGTGAGCTGAAAATTGAGGGAAAAAAAAAAATTAAATCAGATGCTAAGTGCTCTTTTGGATGTCATATTCTATTGTCATGTAAAGGACTTTGCATGGATTATAAAGAAATTTGGCAAATGCAAAATTTTAATGTACTTGTAAATTGAAATTCACTACTTTTTTGTATAATGTTCCTCATCACCTCCTGGGCACGAAGAGCTTGTATTATCAATATTTCCATCTGCTAACCAAGAAAAAAGCAGGGCTAAAAAGTGACTTCATAGGGGTTTAAACACTCAGTACCTATATAGTGAAAATGTTGTAAAAGCTTATTGTGACCAAGGAGAGCATTTTGAGTCCTTGCAGGCTGGGAAGACGAGATAGACAAAAATAATTAAGTTGCTCCAAATAATGGCAAAATCCGGGGTGCAGCGCAGCGTCTACACGCACATTGCAACAATTCCTCATCTCCACCAGAAAAAATGAACTTTCCAGCCCCACTTACCTCCATATTGGCAGATAGAAAGTTTGATTAAAGTTCTTGGTGCTCAGGAGGTCGTAAGGAATATCGTATCAAATAATACTGAAAAACCGATACCAAATTTCTTGGTATTCCATACATAATCTTTTCAAAAGATTTCTGATGCAATGAATTCTTAACACGTTGACTGCCATGCCCATCATATCGACAGGCCTTGAAGGGGCCATGCTGGTGGTTACAACTGGCGTTCGGTAGATCGCGTTGCTGCGCTCCCGTTACGCCTGCTGCTGTCAGAGCCGTGAATATGCTTATGGCTTGAGACCGGCCTGGCTTTAGCAAAGGAATGCACATCTGAAAGGTTTCCTTTGTTTTAAAGATACTTAAAACAGAGGCTGTGGCCCCGGGGGAAATAAGTACCTAAAACAACATGGCAGGCAACAAGTTAAGGATAAAGATATGACTTTTTGAAAACTAAAAACGAGGAATTGGATAACACAGCAATCTTCACTGTGATTATTCAATTTTTCAATTCTAGATGGTTTGAAGTAAAGGGTTATTAGCTCTCGCAAAAATCATCTGGCATACACACGACACTCGGAAATGTCTTTCATTAATTCGTTTGTCTTTGACAATTCAAAACTAAGTCATGTTACCTTGATACTAAAAAATGGATTTTCCTTTCGGTGACGCACCGCCAGAAAGCACAATAATTACAACTACGAGAAAAAAATTTTCGACGAGAATTCTTTTCCTTCAACGAGAAATTGTTAATTTAGATGAGAGGCAATACGCCTCTAAAAAATATCCTTCTTTTTAGATAGTCTTGTTCTTAAACATGCGAGCCACTTCATAGTGACAACATGATCAGGCTGGGAACCTCCGGCTACCAGCAGCAGTGATCAGCCTGGCCAGACAGTCAGTGCTCCGTTGTGGTACTTTGCATGGTGCGCTGTCGAGGCACAAACCATTGGGGAAAAACTCAATGCCTTAAAAACAGATAGCCATTAGCAGCTATTAATTATGGTCACCCTAAGTTTTCTTGACCCTACCTCCCTCTTTTGAATATGAATGGAATTAGAGGGGTACATTTTAGGAATCCTCTTTTTGAGCAGAATACCAAAGGGTGGGCGAAAGGGTATCTGAATTGGAACTGAAGATGCAGAATGAAACTAACACTTAAGCTACGTACCAAAATGACTGACTCCTAAAGTTGCGATGAGCTGATGGTAAAAGCAAAAAGTTGATGCCACTGTTGTAGCTAGCTGAGTTGCATACTGAAAGAATTCTCACAACTGACTTCCATCCTCTGAAGTATTTTGATGTCATAAGATTAACGTGGAATGACAGGAAAAAAGGAAGTCGAATCACGAATCTGATGAATCGTGATTCAATTTGATTTGTCCTCGCACATTAGCAGATAAAAACTGACGGTGTAATATAGATGTAATTGATAAAATAAGGCGGAGGAAAAATTTGATCACACTTTGTTTACTAATTATATACCAACCAACCTAACCTAAATTTATCTTGGCTGCTGATAAGGCCGGAAGTGAAGCAGTGAAGCTTCGCAGACTTCGCCACCAGAGCGCAGTTACTCTGTGTGATAACTGATAAGATGATAACAGAACAGATTGAAAACACGAGCACGAGGTCTCGGCTGGACGGTCTGAATCTTTTTTTAAAATTTGTTTCAATTTTTTAAAACTCAAAATTGTGTTTTGACTTAAGGTATGTAACGCTGAACCTTCCCTTACCCCCCGGTTAACTCTTTTAAATTTATTTCGATCCTCTTATGTAATTTTGAAGGCCAGACCGTAAGAAGGTGATAGTATGTGAGGCAACATCGTCCTGTACCTGAATCATTTTTGATTGACAGTCCTGATGGACTGGGATTGAGATAGCAATGAAGTAAGATGTCAATTGAAGGTTTTGAGTACTATTTCAAGGGTCCTTCCCCCAAAAGAGAGCTTGATCGCTGTGAATCTTTTACTTAATTCTACCTAACCTCTGATAGAAGTGCTGCGATCATCCTCAGGGAAAAGTGAATTCTTCATCTAGTCATGAAATTGTAGGTGTAACAGCTTCATTTCTGTTTTTGTGAGAATATAAAGAAATCTGCCTCACTGTCCTTATTGCCCGAGGGCTCTGCATTTTCAAGAAAAAATTTGTATCTCCTGTAGCCCTCGCAGTCTCTGATTTCTGTAGGTATTCGTCAATCCTTGAATAACAAGCTTACCGTGCTCTTGGCCTGGCTCAGATCTTGTGTCTAACTTCTTATATTATGCCGTTACAACTATCTGGAAGCTTATAATGAGAATTTATCAGTCCATTAGCGGATTATCCAATGCTATCTGTGCGCAATGTTTCTCTTGGTTGCTGCCTTTTCTCCTGTCAAATTCAAAGATTGTCCATTATTTACTGTTATAATTCACAGTAGGTAATAAATACAAGGTTGTAGTAAACTGGCTGTCACATGTAGTCCATAATTGTGACTGTAAAAATTGTCTATTATTTTCTTTGTTCCTGATTGAATGCTTTCTTTTCACTCCAAATATTCAAATTTTATGTGTTAGCATACATTGAAGAACTTCTAAGTGCTGCGTCTGCTATCTTTCACCTCAAAACTCTGTTGACTTATCTTTTGTTCGAGTTGAATCTATAGAGTTGAATTATCTCTTTAGTTATTTACTTGTAGCACCTTCAAAAAGCCTTGTCCTGAAAAAGATAGTAACTTATAAGATTATTCTGAATGATAATGACTTTTCAAATCATTCTGTATTGTTTATTTTGCAAGATTCAAAGGGAGATGAAAAGTAGAGGAAAAGGATGGAAATATCTCATTAATTACTTGTAGTTATACTTAATTATTACTAATAATATCATGAGAAGAGTTTCTATTATTATGGCAAGAAAGTTTCTCACATAATTTTCTTTTTTCAGGTCCCTGAGTTGAAAGGGATCAGATCATGACGTTTGATCTAATTCAATTAGTTGGACAAAAACATTTCATGCAAAAATCATTTCCCAGTGTTACCTAGTTGATACTCCTCAACAAAAACTGGTTCAAAGGCAGAGAGCATCATGCATAACAGGTGACTATCACCAATCAGTACTTACTTTCTTAATTTTTTTTCAAAAAATTTCCGGAGGATATCACTCTCAACCAGGTAGTAACGCATGAGAGCAAATGGCTTGGATGCTGTGGCTTTTCTATCACCTTAAAATTTTAAATTCAACTCACCAAAAAAAATTTCAAGCTTTTCATGTGGTAAGCTAGCAGCTCTACCTTTTTAATTTCCAAGTTGTATCATTTCTGTAGCCCGCAGCTGAAACATAAAAAATGTATACCTTGATTAAAATGTGTCAACATTTTTGCATCCTCTTCATTTTAAAAAATGAACTTAATACAATTGAGTAAAATTAATATAGCTTACTGTCTTTAAAACAAACCAAATTCTGAAAGAAACTTTAGGGAGAAATGTTGGTAAGTTCTCCTAAAAATATATAAAATCGGTTTGATAATCTGAATCATAGGACTCAGAGACACATATTTTTGAACTCTCACTACCAAGCTATGGCCAAACACAAAGTAAGCTATGTCAAACATTTAGGTATTAAGACAATCCAAATGTTGAGAGGTTTTTTTTTTTTAAAAAAAAAATAAATAAATAAAATGAAATAAAAAAATTCCTTTTTTGCCTTTTTTCTGTAAATCAAAAATAACTATAGCCCTTTTAATCCAAAAAACTCAAGGCAATTAAGTTGTGTCCCTGCTTCTGTGGGGGCGTTTTTGCGGTGTTTTTGTACCCACCCACAAGATTTCAGTAACTCTGAAGTACTAAATCAAAGAATCGAACTTTAGTTTTTACTTGACCTTAAGGAAGGAAAACTGATTGACTTTCTCAACTCATATCTCTCTCTGTGAGACCAATCCCTAATAATCGAATTTTCATGGCACCTATACATTTCAATCACTGAGTCATGTAATGCAAGTTAGTTTACATAACCAATCCCCAAGTATCTGTGTACACAAGTATGTGTTACATTTGAGCTCAAAATCTGGACCTGAAATTGTCGCAACACTTTTTCAATCATAGTTTGAAAGACTTAGGGCATCTTTGTGGTCTTTCATAATACAGATTTGAGATGAATATCTTCATTAGTCTAGATTTCAGCACCGTAACACCAGGGGTGTAGAAAGTTCCGCAACACCCACTATTCACACACACCACCCATAGTTTGACATTTTTTTCTTGCAGCCATATTTCTGATTCGCTTCACAATAAAATGCCCAATGACACGATCAAATGTGCGACTTGCTCCAGTATTGAAAGTGTCGTGCCAAAAAAAAGTCATCATTTTTTACAATTGCCTCACAAATCTAGATTTTACTCTTGGTTGGATTGATTTTAGCTGATTGAGAGATCGGACATTTTTTACACCTATTCAGTTAATTATCCTCTGTTTCATTTTGAAACATTCCTGGAAAAATATGCCACTTCAATAGAGATATATGGTTTTCAAAATATTTACTCCATGATGTGAGGATTTCCTATATTTGAATATGATCCTTTGTCTTTCTCCTCCTAACAAAGAAAATCACCCCATCAGTTCCAATATAACTGCCAACTCTTCAGACACATCTTTAAGTCACTATGTTTCATAGAAACTCAATCATGTTTGTGTAATTTGGCAACCATAGATCAATCCACTTCAGACATCGATAAGGGCTCCTCCATGGAAGCGCATGTAGATAAGAGTCACTCAGAAAATTCACAAAGGAGGAGAGAGCCTCTTGAAATGATTTCTAAAGAGCCCTCTGAGTTTTTACTGAACTAACTTCCATGACTGAAATTTTTCTAAATTAATCCAATCAAGTACATTTTCTCTTTTTGTCAGCACACTAGTGTGATTTGATTGGAAAATTTTAAGAAGCATGTAACTGCATTAAATTAATCGTAAAAGTTAGGCATGACTAGTTTCAGTTGAAATAAGCCTCGCGGTTCGAATCTTCAAATTTTTTTAGAGATTTTCCAAGTCTCCTAAAAGCTTGCAAGATTCACACATCAAATTTGAGGGAAAAAACTGTTACTTAAATCTCTAATTTATTTAAATATATTGATCCAACTTTAAGTTTTATGAAACTCATCAATCTCTTTGATTGTCTACAAATTTGAAACAATTCGTTTTGGAAGAGGTGGATTGATTAAAACTTCCAAGGAGGCCCATCATCTGTTCTAGAGGTCAGGAGGGATCCAGAGTGTTCCAGGGCTGCTGAAAGTTCCAAACCTTCTCCTAAATTCAATTAATTTTTCCTCAAATTAAATCAACCTTCCCTATTTTTAACCGAAATTCATGATCATTTCCCTCCCTAGACAAAAAAAAACTCCTCATGCCCATAAAATAGGTGTTTTTCACCCCTAAAACGTCACGTTTTGATCAAGGTTTCCTCGTTTTTTCCTGTTTTCATCTCTCGTTTTTCCAGTAGGTACTCTCAGGGGTTTCCCCATTCTGGCCTGGTTGCATGATTGGGAAGTCTCTTCACCCTGTGATTTACCTTGTCAGGGATGATTTTTAATATGAAAAAATATGTGCTTTTGTAATGGATTTATCTCTCTCTTGTTCTTAGTTTCACAACATTATGATGAAAAGATCAATCTAAGAAATTTAAAGAATATCAAATGGAGTCTGCTTACAAGTTAGCGCTATGGATCGGAACATTCGGTTTTCTGAAAGAATTCCGTCCAGAGGACCCTTATATTACTCAGTACCTTGTGGGACCTGTAATGAATTTGTCTAAGGAACAGGTACAGTTCTTGATGCATATTTTGTAAGTTTTTTTTCACAGGAGATAATCTGGAGGTTAAGGAACTTGGGGAAAAAAAGAAGAAGGATTTTCAGTAAAACTTCAAAAGAGTTGGGTGAAACTTTCATGAAGAAGAAGGAGAAGAGTTTCTAAACTTGCTTTACAAGGTCTTACAAAGGGGAGGGAGGGGGAGGAGGGATCAATCCAAGGCCTAAGTAAGCCTCTCACTTAAATAAATAAATAAAAAATTAGATTTTCCAATAAAAATAATTTTTTCAGCCAAGTTGGAGGGGGAATCAGGCCTTTTTTGAGTAATTTCAAAGGGGAAGCGGTTTCATGGGTACCTTGCAAGGGAGAGAAGGGCTAAAAAGTCGGTCAAAATGTCTTGTGTAAGTTGAGTAATACTAGAATAGCCCCGCCATTGTAATCGTACATCAAGCTATTTTCTTACTCAGTTACTTTCATTCCTATGCTCTTTGAAAACAAAAACGTAGTGTTTTCATGTTTTGAACAAACCTGATTTGAATGGCATTTTATTTTTTGTTCTTCAGTCAATCATCTTCTCATGTATTTGCTTCTGTATGAACAGGTCAATGAAGAAGTATTCCCAATTGCAACATATGTCTCCACATCGCAGCTTATTTTGGTTTTCTTGCTCACTGATTGGCTTCTTTATAAGCCAGTTGTTCTTGTCAATGCCCTCTCGGGTGTCATTTCTCAAGCTATTCTTATTTGGGGCCGTGGGCTGAAATGGATGCAGGTGGGTTGGCTGTAATAATGTGAAGCGTAAGAAGAATTTTTTCAATAAAATTTACTTTTTTAAGGAATTAGTAGAGGTATGATTAGGGAGCAGTGCAGCATGCACCTATGTGCTAAGGTCATCGTAAAAAAGTATGAAAATTACAGTTTTGGCACTATTATCATTTCCTTCCATTTTTATTGAAACCAAGTCACTTATTATTTTGGACTCTACAGATACTTAATATTGAAAAATGGATGGATTTTTTGGGGGGAATAAATTATTTAATAAATGAATAAATAAATAAATAAAAAAACATAACTTCCTAAGTTGAAAAACTTTACATTAGAAGAGCCATGTCGAGGAAAAAGTATCACAAGTATCAAGTTTAAATTCACCTATAGAATTGCCTCCCGGCACAGCGGGACATCCTCTAATTGTTAACTGAGCGATCCTTTCTATTACAGGATATTTGTGTTCCTTTTCCTGATCAGTGCTGTTGATTATGTACAATGTTCTTTGTTACCGCTCATGTCTTATTCCTTGGTCTTTTTAATCTTTTGTACTCTGCTCTATTTTATTGTAATGTATCTTATGAGGAATAATAAAAAAAAAAAAAAAATCATGTTTAAAAATGGCAGGAAGTATTTTGAATTCGGTATTATGCTTAGCTTCAAAGATCTCAGACAGGCATGCATTTCGCAAACACTATAGACGTATCTAAAATCTATTTTATCAGCCACTCTCTGCACATGGAATACTTTCAGAATTTTATAGTTTAAAATTCTTATTAATGTAAAATGTTACTTTTAGGTCATGGAAATCTTCTACGGGACAATGATTGCTTGCGAAGTTGCATATTACACTTACATCTATGCTAAAGTTGAAAAACAGCACTTCCAACTAGTCACTAGCTTTATGCGCGCAGCATGCTTGTGTGGCCGCTTTTTGTCAAGTATCAGTGCGCAAATATTTTTACTGACTGGTGTCATGACAATCGCAACTTTAAATCATCTGACGTTTGGTGGTAATTATCCTTTTATAATCATACAGTATTTATTTCGTTTCTGAAGTTGGAAGGGGTGTCAAAATTTTGCCGCTTGTTTGTTAGCATATTTTTCAGACAACTCAGTTTAACCAGTTAAGGGAAAAGCGTATTGCAGTCAGTCAAAATAAAGTTGGTGAGCTCTTTATCAAGGTCTCTCCACTTTTAACCCTCCAGTAGAAAACTAGTGAAGAAGAATCCAAAGTAGCACCCAAGCTAAGCTACAATCAGTTGTTGAAAGAATTTTTTTGTAAAAAGTGATGTGACATTGAGTGCCTTTGAAAAATTTGTCGTTCAGAAGCAGTTTAAAAAATCGTCAAATGCCTGAGAATGATTGCAGTAAAACGTCTTTCTAAATTAGAAAAAAAAGATGCTCCAGAATAAGTAGTATGTTTTTTGGGCTTTGAGTCACATGTACAGAAAAGGAAGATATCTTCTGGTGTTCGTAGATTTTGGAAGCTATCGCTCAATTTCAAATTGTACAAGCGTATCATGAGTTACTTTTTCTAAGAGTTACCATGTTGAAAATGCACATGCAATCTGCTTAGCTTAGACTGAGTAAATTTGCTCGATGCCAAAAAAAAAAGAAGATTCTTTACTTCTAAGTAGTAAATTCGCAATAATTTTGCTGATCCCACATTTTAAGTTCTCCAAAATTTTTGGGAGGTCGCAAAATTTGGTGAAGTGATGAAGTGGAACCTTCTGATTGAAGTTATATTTTTCAAAAGCATATGTCAATAAATTTCAGACTTGAATCTGTTTTGAATGAACTGTCCTGATTGTTAGTTGATGCAACCACCTAAATAAAAGTGGGAAGAACTTGAGTTTGCGCTTAAATTTTCTGAGACCATAATAAAAAATTGTTTTTAGCTGTACTTTTTCTGCCGCTTAGTGATTAAATTTTCTTTTTTATCACATAGGAATGATGTGTGCATTTTTGTGGGCCCTAACATTGCCTCCTGTGAAGCACAGCCTTTATTTCCATAGGCAGAAGTCTGCACCTAAAGATGTCGCAGTTGACCTCGAACTAGATAGAAGTGAAGAACCTAGGAGTAAGTTATAAAAATTTCAGTGTAAATTTTTCTAGAACCATCCTTCATGATTCTACGAGGTAAATCCATACAATGTTAACTTTTCAAAACTCTGAATTATCAGTTCAAAGAAAACGGATTTGTTCACTGAATTGAAAGGAAAAAGGAGCCTTGATTTGTTAAAGGCAAAAAATGGCAGCTTGACCAAGGAGGTAACAGTGCACCAACCAACCATTCAAAATGTGAGAAGGATGATTAAAATCATTAGTGCAGAAACGCACCAATGGTAAAAGTTAGGGGTCTGCGAAGCGGTGTTTGTCAAAGCGAAGCAAAGCGGACAATAAAAACCCTTCAAATACACTGGATGCAACCCGCGAAATTTCGTTGCGGTTACTCCAGCGAGTCGCGACTAAGCGTGCGGCGGTGGTAAACTTCATTGAACACTGGAAAATATGTGAAGAATACATTCTTTAAATTTTCCCCCTCTTCCCTTAAATTTCAAGAATGAATTTTTATTGAGATGCCAGCAGATCTAAGATTTTTTTTTCAAATTTGTCATTGGTTTTGCCTTAATGATCATGGAATGATAAAAAATAAAAACTGTTTTTACTTTTTATTTTCCTTTTAATTTTTTTTTTTTTTTTTTATCTAATTTAATGTAAAACATAGCAATACCTGCAAAATTGTGGTAAATATAATTTGAAAACCATCGATTTAAACTTTTCAAAAACATTTATCTTGATGGAATTGAGGTTAGTAGAAAAGGCGCTTATCTTATACGCTGAGCGGCTGCAAGTGCATGCGCTAAGAACCAGTTTACGCAGAGAATTATCCATCAATCATCGGCATTCGGCATCGATTCCGAAAGAGCGCAAAATTTGAATTACCGCGAAATTTTCGCTTCGCTTTGCTTTTTCCGACCTTGCGCTTCGTTTTGCGAAGCAAGTGTGAAGCTTTGCGGACCCCTAGTAAAAGTCACAATATGTGTATCTCAGATTGCAACGCTGTAAATCTCTGCTCATGTTTTATTTTTTTAAAGGAAATTTAACCCACAGGTCTCATTGAAATTTGTTTAGAATTTTCTTCCCTCTTTCTATTTTTAAAAAGAATCACATAAAATTGCAAAGAGGCATTTCAATTAATTTTCCTTGAGGAAAATAAAACACAATTGGAGTTTTTTAAACGTTAAAATTAAGTTACACATTTTTCGTACCTAGACATTGTTATGAGATATTATGACATTAATATGGACGTAAGAAATGAAAATTTGAAATTTAAGAGCTGAAGGAACCATATTTAGCAACGTAGAGAAACAAATATGAAGCATGAGAAATCCTGACTTCTACTGTTAGAATGATCTTTGTATTTTATGGTGAAGAACGAAAGAAAGCTCCATGATTTGTGAAGTTAGTCTTCCTCTCCTTTGTTCTGGATAATATGTTGGTTAAACTGCAAGAATGCATATCTTGGTTGCGGTGAATCAAAATCTCATCTTCTATTTTATTTTTTAAAACAAGGCCAAACCAACATTTCGGCTCAAAATTTTAAAAGTATCCTTCACATAGACAAGAAAAATCACCAAAGTTTTCAAAAATGACCTTTACTAGTTTTAGATGAAGAAAAACTGACATATGACAGCAAGCCCACACTGCAGCAAATCGAGATACGCATTTCTGTAGTTTCACCATCGATATACGGCATTATCTATACATACATTTAAGGAAACTGCAGAAGTTTTTATCATAAATGTTTTAGCTTTAACACACTTTCGGAAAGATTAATTTTGTATTATTATTTATTCTACAGCATCTGTCATCATTGCCTTTGTGGTCTGTTCTAGCTCTAGAAGGTGATGTAGTTGAAAGTAGTAAGTCAGCGTTTGAGCATCTGTGGTTTGATTTCAAATTTGCCTATCGGAATCCGTATGTTCTAAAGTGGTCCCTGTGGTGGTCTTTAGCAACATGCGGCTATAATCAAGTTAGTACTTAGTGTTTTCTTCTTATTTTTTATTGTCTCTTTTTATTTTCCACCTTGTTATTCTTATTCCGTTTTGTTTAAGGTTAACTGTTTGTCACTGAGCAATTTTAGCTACTTCTTCACTTGATAAAAAAGAGAGGCAGATGTATGGAACTTCTCTGATCAGTTGATCAAAAAACAAAACCCACTATAATATGAGGTAGCTGATAGTACACAATATTTTCAGTTGTTCAATCTAATAAAAAAGTCATGCCCTGAATCACTCTTGTTCACAAGCAAATTTTATCCAGGTCTTCAACCACATTATAGTTGTCATGTACAGCAAAATACTTGAATCCTTTCTATCAGATTTCATGATTTTGATTCGCAGGTAACATCTTACAATCAACTGCTTTGGGAAGAAGTTCAAAGTGATGGTGCTTACTTCAACGGAGCTGTCGAAGCTGTCTACACAATCATAAGTAATCCATCGTTCCATTATTCCTGCTCCTTTATCTGTATTTTCTATATGAAACTTTTGCCACCTTGTATTCCCTCACTTAGCTGTGCCCAAAGACATCAAGATCACTAGAATCCGTGCGGCTGTTTGCCCTAACTTCTACAGGAATCTGACCTAATTTTCAGATTAAGAGACTTGCATGTGTCTATAGATTGGCTGCCACCATCTGTTTCAGCACATTTTCATTATTGCTGTCCTTGACAGATTTTATCCAGTGGTGGCTAACAGTACCTATGATAAAGTTATGTAGGATCAAAGTAGAACTAGCGTCAGATAAGCACTGTGCAATGGATTCGAGCAGTAGAACCCAATGAAAAGTGAGGGAAAGATCACTGATTAAATTCAATCACTTATAAAACCATATTGCTGAGGCGCAGAATGTTTCTTGTCCTGATAACAGCTCAGTTGAAAACTGCAAGGATGAGACAAAATGATGTCATACAGAGTTTCAGCCCCTGAGTTTTCGTGTGAACGCAGTCAGCCTGACAAATCCAAGTCCCGTGTAAGGCCATGATTGGCCCAGAAGATTGGGCCGCAGAGGAAAAGGGAAGCTAAAGCAACGATACTTCCAATTTTCAAAAAATCTTTGAATTCAGTCTTGTCTTAGCTCATCAGCAATCCTGGCCACAAGGTCGATAGACCTAGGTCAGTCTGTTAGCAACATGTTCTTTGGAATTTCTCGATCTGGCGACAGATTCTCCCGATTTGCTGTTTCACTCCAAACGTCCATCTGGAACATTGAACCGTTTATAAATCTCCTCTTTCTGCCCTATCAGGTGCTGGGGCATCAGTTTCAATAGGCTACCTAGTCTTGGATTGGAGTGAGTGGGGTGAGCTTCTCCTTGGCATTTGCACTCTTCTGGAGGGTTTTTTCCTTATTGGATCATCCTTTGCCACTAGCATTCTTCCTTGTTATTTTGCATATGTTGCATTCGGTATGCTTTATCACGTGATGATGACCATTTCAAAGTGAGTTCTTTTCCTTTTCCTCCACTGAAATTTTTGCATATCAACAGTGAAACCGTAGGAATGTGTATCGTCCATCTACTTTACCTTTTAAATGGAAAAATAATCAATGTCATTTCTCGAAAACCTCCCTTATTTTCCCTCTCTCTTTGAAGACTAAGCAATGAAAATTTCAAAGAATAGCATTGATTAGTTCTCCCTCGATAAAATAAAATGGGAGCATAGATTTTGAAACACCGTAAACAAGGTACATATACATTCCTGCAGTTTCACAATTGATATATTGAAGGTTGCCCTAGGAAGTAAGTTTCAGTTCTTAGAAAACTTTTGTCTTGAAAAATTTAAGGATTTCTATCAAAGCTGATGAAAACTGAAAAAAATAGAGTGAAAAGGTATGCTAATCATATTGAAATATTTAAACAATAGTTGTGAAGAAACTTTGGAAAAAAATTGTGAGGAAGGTAAACTATCAGAGCCGTGGAATTCATTAGCTAGAGAACGTAAAATTTTTGAAAGATTAAGGTGATGATAGGAGCCTATTGTAACTCTACATGACAAGCAGAATGCGCCGAAATATCACAGAATTTAAATTAGGGGGGGGGGGGGGGGTGTTACAGTTCTTAGGCGAGCAGCGGTTGTCTTCACCATCCTCATCACTTTCAACCTGTTTCCTGATTTTTCTTTGCAACATTGCCACAGAAAAACCAATCATTTTTTTTTTTTTAAATTTCATGCAGCTAGCGTAACAGTTTCTCTAAAAGTGAATGAAAATCTGGAAAAGACATTTAATTTTATTCAACCAAGTAATGTTGTAAAAAATCAAGACATTTTGTCAATTTTATTTTCTTGTTGAAATTTTTTGGTGGCTCTGATCCTTTTAGTAAATGTTTTAGTTTAAATTTTGCTATACATTTCTGTTGAAGAGCATTCTATTTTTCTTTCAACTGCACTTGTCAGAGAGTTTTTGGTATAATTTCTGGTAAACTGAAGATATTTTGACCATAGTCAGTTTCCAAAGAAGGAATCTTTCTGAAATATTATCAAATAAATCCGTCCATCTTGTAACCTTAGTTTCATTTTTCTGTTATATTCTGTACTTTTAACTTTTGTAGTTCAGAAGTTGCAAAACATATCAGGCCTGACAGCTATGCTCTCATTTTTGGTGTGAACCAATACATTGCTCTTTGTCTCCAGTCGCTATTGACGTATGTCGTTGCAGACAAATTGGCTCTGAATTCTCGACCTCAGGTAAGACTACTTGAAATTCTCCTTTTACCTGGGAGTGCAGGATATTTTGTTAATCAAAATTGAGTTTTTGGTCAACAAAAGTTAACCAACATGATGAAAATCGTTCTTTTGGGCAAAACATATTTACAATAATGCCCTGATTCTTGGACATAGTCAAAATTGAGTTTTTGGTCAAAAACGATAGCACAACATAAACCAGGGGACAAGTATTGAATATATCTGTGGTTTTGTGTGTTCCCCCCCCCCCCTGTCAAAACCTATGTTCTAGAAATAAGATATAACATCGCCCAAATATGTGCTTTTTGGTTAGAAACAGAGCCTGAAATACTATTTTTAAATATTTTTTCGTCGTGTCAACATTTAACTTTGTTCAATCTATGATGCAGTCATCCGGTAAAGGCACCTTAGCGGTAGAAATTTTTCTGATTAGCGGTTAAAAAGTCATCCGGTAAAGGCATCTTAGCGGTAGACATTTTTCTGGTCAGCGGCTAAGAAGTCATCCGGTAAAGGCATCTTAGTGATACTTAGAAGATTTTCTAGTCAGGGTAAGGTACTGCCGAATAACGTTTTATTCAACGTTACAGGACCGCCAAACAACCACTTCACTAAATTAATTACAAGAAGTAACTCATGGCATAAATCAAAACTTTCCGTCCATAAAAAAATTATAATCTACTTAAGTTTCATGACAGTGTTTGCAATTTGGAAATATGACAGCTTCAATCTCTGCGCTTTGGCTCAGCTATTGCTTATTGTTTACAATTTGAACAATACAGAGTGGAGAAGAAACACTGTATCGAGAAACCTACCAAATCTGTTGTAATGTGCAATTTGATTCAAGTAGTCATTGGTTTTTCTTGTGAGCGGGAAATTTCAAGCTAATTTTTGATCAATGATAAATAAAAAAGGTATTATTTTGTTCTGGAATTAATTCCAGTAATTTGCGCCAAAAAAAAATTTAAAAAAAAAAAAATTCAGATGTTGCGCTAATCTTGTTCTACATGAAATTTTGAAGCAGGGTGATGTATCATAATGCTTGAATTCGTACCCTGTCCAGTGGTCCATTGAATGTCTAAGCTGTGATTTTTACAAGTGATAAATTTTTTGTTTTTGGATTAATTTTAGGTACTTGTATGCCTTCTTTAGCTCTAATAATATTTTTGTTGTCTGTTTTTTTTTCAGTTTATTGTTTACGGCTCTTATTTCATCATCCTTGGCTTCATATTTTTCATCAAATTTATCCATAGCAAAGGTTTCAAAATCAGGCATAGGAAAGATTATTCGGTTTCGTAACATCAACCTTGTCTCCTTGATTTCAATTTTTGTTTGTTGATTGTTAATGTTCGGGTGGATAAGAGATAATATTTTTGTTACTGTTTGGACATACATTTGATAACATCAAATTCTTTAAACTTGTAAGCCTCTCGGTAAAGACATTCCATGTGAGAAATTTTTCCTTTCATCATTGAAATATTTTATTTTATCTAATTGCTCAATAAAGCCTCTGCATCAGATGGCTCACTTACATTTTCCAGCACCTATTTGTTTTTTTTTAATGGTGATGGTGAAACATGATAAAAATTATTCTTGAGATCCACTTCTACTCCTTGCTCAGCATTTCTAGTATTAATTCTGCTCAAAAATTCCTAAAATTTCTCGATGGAATGTTTTTACACAAGGATTTTCCGTTATCCTGATCATGATAATAGTTCAATCTAGTAGCTGTACTTTATATGAAATGCCTTCTGGTACATGTACAGGAAGGCACAGAGTGAGCCATTGGTCAACAAAGCTCTTAATATTCTCGGAGGTGAAATTTTCACTTTAGCCGACAGTCAATTATGTTCTGTGTTCCCAGAAATGTGGTTTGTGCAGCTTTAAAAATGCATAAGAAATGCTTGATCTAAAAATATATAAAAAGGCCTTGCAAAGTGCTTGGTTTCTTGGAAGATGCTTCAAAGTGATTGAGATGTCATTCTGCTGTTCATCAATGGTAGATAATCGCTGTTTTAAGAAAGAACAACGCACTTCATGTTTAATAGATAAAGAAATTGCAATAAAGTAAGTCAAAATTCCCAACCTGGACTCATGACACAGGGGTAAACTGCGTGTTTAGGAAAAAATTACGAAAGAGGTCGTGAAAATTGCGTGATTATTCATTGAAATGCGCTTAATTTTTCTTTTTTGAGGCTGCATAAACCATGAAAAAGGAATTTCTGATAGTTGAGGGTATTGTTATTGTTTTTCCCAGGTAAAATCTAACAAAAATCAACCATTACTACCTCTATTTTCTTGTCCTTTTAGGGTCAGGCTTATCCTTCTATGCATTGAAAGTTTGTCATAGCTCCTTGCCATTCAGTTTATTTTGATGAAAGTGTACTAAAAAATATCTTACTTACTGTACTCTGAACCAGTGCTCTGTCTATATATATATCAAGCCGCTACCTCAGCGCACTAGAGCGCTCTGCGACTCCAAATCGCCATTGGAATCGATCCTCCTACAAACCATCCGGCATATTACACCTGCGTGCTCTGTCTTCCCTCTGAAATTTTAAGAGCTAACTTGGCAGGAAAGTTCAATTTTTTAGAGCTATTTAAAAATTTTTTGGAACCAAATTAACTTTTTGCATATGCATCATGGTCGCAAACAGTGCATCAAGAGCGTTGCTGCTGGTTTGCGATTATGAGTTCGAAAAAATTGACAGAGTGCATCAACATTTTTAGGCACCAAGATGGCCTAGCCCTTTTCTCCCAATTTTAGGCACCTAAACCAGATTTCTAAGCGCATTTGGCGAATGACGCCAAGGGAAGGCAGAACACGGCTCTGAACTGATCTTTACTGGTAAACTTAAGACAATTGATGCAAAGAAATGTAACTATTTGGAAAAAAGCCTTGAATAGTACAAGAGAGCTAATATTTTTCAGACACTGCCATTTTATCGAATCTTAATCATGAACGAAAACCAAGCGTGAATTAAAATACACTGTGATTAAGTACTTTAATGTTTTTATACAATTTCCGGTTAATCTTTTGCATCAATGACACTGATATTTTGTTCTAACTTTCCTTGCCTCTGCCTCCTTTTTTTTTTGTTCTGAACAACACGTTTTTCTTATTTTGTGCTATTTCTGTATGAAGACTATTTTTCAAGTCAATGTCCTCTCTTATATTTTATGGGATGATTTTAAAATTAAAGTTCCCTCAATAGTTTCAAATCACAGCCTGAATTTTGCAAAAGTATTAAATTCGCTGCTAGTGATTTTAATTTTTATCGTCACTTATATCAAATTGTGAATTTATTAGAGATTTTCTTGATTTTAATTACTACTTTAGGTTAGCAAACTCTCTTGCCAAGTAATAGGTTTTTTATTCTTCATTACCTCAGACTATGACGACTCCTTGTTGTAAAAGTGGTTTCATCTTTCTTTAACCGACGAAACTCTAACAGATCATCATCAGCAAAATAGTACATAAATAAAGATTAGCTTAATGTTGGGTCTAGATCTTTTTTTGTCGTTTTGCTGATATTTATGTTTTCATATTAGCTGCGGATGGATCTTTATCAAAACTAGTTAGTGGCAAAAGCTTATTCAAACAGGACGCAATTTATTCATGGAACAGAAGAATCTATTTTGGTGCCATCTTTTTTGTCATCTTATTTAAATTTTATTCATAATTCTCTACAAATTGCATATTCTTGCAGGATTTTACTTTTTGAAATTTAGGCATTACTTGGACATAATTTTTTTTCCTCTGTGAAGAAAGCATGTGTCTTCTTAACCATTCCAATCACCGTTCTTAACACATTTTAGTGGACAGAAAGTTTTAGTACTTTTGCAATTTTTTCAATTGGATACTTTTTTCATTTCTCAAAATGGAAATTACATTAATGTTCAAAATTGTTTAAAACGCAAAAAGCCCAAATTGTTTGTAATAATCGTCGTTTTGAAAAATCATTTGTGTATTTATGCTTGAATGAAAAAGCTGAGAACAATCTCTCTGGTGTGTTGAATCTTTGTCATAGTCTATCAACTAAAAAAAAAAAAAAAAATAAGTCAATAAGTTGCTGCCAAACAAGTTGGCGGTGTCTAGATCTCAACTGTGATGAAACAATGGCACTGTTGCCCATAGTTTTATAAAAAAAAGCTCAATAGTGTGTTCTAAGAAAGTGAATTCATAAAGTGGTCGGAAAATTATCATGATGACTTCTTATGTATTATCTCGTAAAATTTCCTGTTATCATTGTTATCAACATCTTTCTTCTCCGTCATTTTTTTATGATTTTCTAATATTTATTTATTCAAAAACATCACATCATCTATCCATCAAATATTCATTTTCCCATGCAGAATTTCACTTGATCGACCAATCAAACTTCTTTTACTTTTTATGGTATTAACTTCTATTTTATTTTTCTCCTTTGTTCATTACAACATTATTTTTTTTACCCCTGAAGTTTGGAACACCCAGTCCATGTATCTTTAACTGTACCTTACCTGTGTGTAACTTTTAAGGCTGAATTTGCCCAACCCATTTGTTTCTTAGCTGTCTGCCTCTGTAGGTGTGCAATTCTGCCTCGCTAAGGAAGAATGCTGCATGAGCCTTCAGACGTTGCCAAATTTCCTACAGCAAAACCCGAATTTTCCTGGAAACTTATCAATATTTTTCTCCAAATTTTTCAGAGAACTTTGTTTGCCATTTGATCCGAAAATCTGAAAATTTGCAAGAAAATTTCTCTTAACTTATTTCAAAAATTGATGTTTTATTGGAACAAAATTTGGCAGGTATCAAACGTTCATACAGTGCTTTTTCTTAGCACGGCTTAATAGCCGAAGTGACCCATTGAATACTTATATTTTCTTTGTAAGTTTCACAATGTAATGATCATTGCCCCGAATTAAGTTTAGAATTTCTATCCCTTGCCATGATGTCAATCAGCCGCAAAAGTTTTGTTCATCTGTAATTTGTATGTAAAGAAGGGATTTGTGAGTGAGGAAAGTTTAGCACTTCCTTCTGTTTTTATTGTTAAATTGTTATGCATCGTTGAATAATCAACTTAAAATTCACTGCTTTTTGCCAATGCAGCTAAATCAATTGTACGTAATCAATAGTTTTATTGTTGTTATTATATTTTTAACAACAAATCTTGAGACTCATTTTAATTTTTAGGATCTCTTTAACCTTTTTTTTAGGATACCTTGATTGAATTTTTATTTTCAAGATCCCTGGTTTTAAGTCGTTAGTTGAAAAATAATCTAATTTTTTAAAATGTGCACTAGATGTAGCCCTGTCCCTGTGTGGGTCACTCGTGCTTGTTACAGAATCTTCATGGTTCGTGCAGCCTGGAAAAGTTCTTGATTTTGAAATTATTTTTCAAGGCCTTGAAAGAGGGTGCTTGAAAAGTGCTGGAAAGCTACCTACTGTTCCCTAATTTTTAATGTTCAATAGGGTGGTTCTTATCTGTAAACTTTCGATTAAAACGGAATCAATCCCCCAAAAACTTGTCTTTTGGTGTAAAATGAACCCACTAAAAAATTTCAGCTAGATCGGATCATTCTAAGTGGTGCAGCAACCGCCGACTAATTTCCGAGGGGGAACTTCAAAACTTGAAAAATTGCGTTTTCCCGTCATATCGCAATTTTTCCCCCTTTAAATTGTTGTTACAGCTTTGACATTTTTTGAGGTAACACACTTTTTAGGGTACTATACGAAAAAATAACACAATTTACTGCATCACTTTTAAAACACCCCTTTCTTTCCTTCGAAGTGGCACCACATTGTGCGATTTTGCCGATTTTTCGTAACATTCTCCCGGCACGGTTTGCCTGAACGAGTTTAAATTTTTCAATGAGTCCAAAGCAAAAACTCCTTAATTTCTTTTAGTATAGTGTCTACCAAATCATCGAAGCCAAAAAGAGGAAAATTCTGTTTAGCTCCTGGAAAATAAACTTGACTTAAAGGTATTTTGGGGCTGAATAAATAGGCAAATTACCGTTAGTAAGTCCCGTTACATTATAAAAAGAAATTTCCTAATAGTTATAATGCCTGGGCTCCTTAAATATGATTATTTAAAGTACTAGAACACTAATACCATCGTTTTCAACCATATGTGGAATTTTGGAAGCCTTAAATTACCCCTCTGAGCACAAAATTGTACAAATTTTCGTTAATTTTTACTTTATTTCTTTAAAGGAGTACAAATCGACTTCATTCCAAGTTGTCGCAGAATTTTCTCCGCACAGAGTAGAAAAATCATGGCAGTTTAAAAGAATTAATGTTGAGTAGTTTTCCATTTAAAAAATGAAGTATGACAGGAAGTCTCCGACCGAGTTATGTGCTTGCCGACATACACCGTCGATTTAGAAAAGCATTATTATAGGAATTGCAGCACTGATGATTGGAAAATGGTTACATCATAAGTAATAGAAAGTTAACTATAAATTAAAAAGTAAAAAATCATCAGTTTCAAAATTTCTATGCAACATGTGTTCGCAAAAGTCTACCCTAGTACCTAACAAAGAGTTGAGGTGATTTGACGGTTGCCCTTTTTTGTGTCAGAGTGCCGTGCGATATATCACATAGGTACTTGACATTTTTTTCGAATTTTGAGATGCTACCTCTGTTCTCATGAGAGCCTAAAGAATTCATGTACCAGCTTGGACAAAGAAATTAAATCGTACTAAAGGCAGGCCTTCAAGTTCCTTGATTCCAACCTGACCTTTTTGGATTCGATCTTGATCTGATACAAAAGCCGGGCCATTTGGTAATCGCTCAAATGAGGGGGTAGAATGCCAACGTCTTTTGTTATTGAATCAAGAATCGGATAACAAAAGGCCAGGTATAAGTTCGGATTCAATAAAATCGAAGGAATAGCCGGGAAAACCGAGCCGAATTCGTCAATGGAAAACCCAAAACTCGGGGAAAGGTAATTAGACCTGAATCTAAAACCCATTAATTTCTATCTCTCTCGCACACTAAGGCGAGTTGCCAGGCGTATTTCTGTCTCTCTCGCACACATTGGCGTTCCGTCAGGCGATTTTCTGTGTCTCTCGCACACTTCAGCGGGCTCCCTGGCTGTTTTCTATCCCTCTCGCAAACAAAAGCGGGCTCCCTTGCTGTTTTCTATCTCTCTCGCACACATTGGCGTTCCGCCAGGCGATTTCCTGTCTCTCTCGCACACATAAGCGGGCTCCCTGGCTGTCTTTTATATCTCTCGCACACTTAGGCGAGTTGCCTGGCTGTTTTCTGTCTCTCTCGCACAGCCAAGCGAGTAAGGGAGCAACCGCTCTCAGAGGGTCGCGGGGGAACGCCATGCGGCTTTGCCGGAAAAACAACGCAAGTCCCCCTTGGCGATTTTCTTTCTCTCTCGCACTTATACGCGAGACGCTTGGCTAATTCCTGTCTTTCTCGCACACTTAGGTTAGTTACTGGGCTGTTTTCTGTCTCTCTCGCACACCTAAGCGTGTGAGGGTGAAACCGCTCTCAGAGGGTCGCGGGGGGACGCCATGCGGCTTTGACGGAAAAACGACGCATGTCCCGCCTGGCGATTTTCTTTCTCTCTCGCACTTATACGCGAGACGCTTGGCTATTTTCTATCTCTCTCGCACACTTAGGCGAGTTGCCTGGCTGTTTTCTGTCTCTCTCGCACACCCAAGCGAGTAAGGGTGCAACCGCTCTCAGAGGGTCGCGGGGGATCGCCATGCGCTTTTGCCGGAAAAACAACGCAAGTCCCACTTGGCGATTTTCTCTCTCTCTCGCACTTATACGCGAGACGCTTGGCTATTTTCTATCTCTCTCGCACACTAAGGCGAGTTGCCAGGCGTATTTCTGTCTATCTCGCACACATTGGCGTTCCGTCAGGCGATTTTCTGTCTCTCTCGCACACTTCAGCGGGCTCCCTGGCTGTTTTCTATCTCTCTCGCACACAAAAGCGGGCTCCCTTGCTGTTTTCTATCTCTCTCGCACACATTGGCGTTCCGCCAGGCGATTTCCTGTCTCTCTCGCACACATAAGCGGGCTCCCTGGCTGTCTTTTATATCCCTCGCACACAAAAGCGGGCTCCCTGGCTGTTTTCTGTCTCTCTCGCACATCTTGGCGTCCCGCCTGGTGCTTTCTGTCTGTCTCGCATACATAAGCGGGCTCCCTGGCTGTTTTCTATCTCTCTCGCACACAGGAGCGGGGTACCTGGCTGTTTTCTGTCTCTCTTGCACACTGACGCGTCCCGCCAGGTGATTTTCTGTCTCTCTCGCACACATAAGCGGGTTCCGGAGCAGGCGAGTGAGCGTTACGAAATTTGAGGGCATTACGCATTACGTGGATCAGATACCTGATTTTTGTTTTTGAATTGCCCGGTACTCGATCAAACTCGATAGTTTTAGTTGAGTTCGGGAACGCAATTCCATCGGTTTCCGCGTAGGGCTGATTAACGTTGAGACGCGTTATTTACTCATTCTGCGATAGCGAGCGATAAAGCATTTTTTTGTTTTTGCCGTATACGTTTCGACGGTCCTGTTTGCCAATTATTCTCATTCTGATGTTCTGTCATGATGACGAGACGAGCTGTCCATTGCTCCATTATTTTTCGGCACTTTCGCGCTTTTAAGTAACAGATGAAAAGTGTTTGCAAGATTATCTTTATAACTTTATTGACGGCGCAGGTGATATGATATGGGAGAGTCTCTCTTTTAACTGTTTTTTTTCCCACTGCTTTGTGACTAGTAATGTAGGTTAACATAATCAGGTAAGCAGGAGTTTCGTATCAGTTTTATGCACTTCCTGACTCCTTGAATTTCCATCGTACTCCTCTCAATTTATTTCTTGTTATTTTCCTTGTAAGCCATAAATGCTGAAATTGTGTTGAAGCAGTTGTAATGAGTATAGAGCATCCCACTCTTGGCGCTAAATTTCAGGTCAGCGGAGCTACTATTGAGCTGATATCGACTCTATGTCGCTGCTTCGTCATGTCGCGCAATCGACTGAGTGGCACTTAGTTGATTGCGCTGCGACATAGAGTCGATGTCAATTCAATAATCGCCCCGCAGATATGCTGTACACTTTCTTGAATTAGGTATGAGACTTGTTCACTGATTAATATTTCGTCCTCCTCTCATTTTCGGTTTCTTGATAATTTGGATTCATACTCTCAATTGACAGGTGATATCATGATCTTGGCATAGTTGTAAATAGTTTAGATTGAGGAAGGTAGATAGAGCACGCGCATCGTTTGTTGAGACAAGTGTCAATCTCCGATTTGCTCTGAATTCGCACCTTTCAACAGGTTAATACCTACAGTCAGGTGGCACTACTGGTGACACATGGCACATGGTTACATAAACAATACTTTGATGTTTGTCTCAACACACGATGCGCGAGTTCTATCTACACTGAACCTGGTAAACATGCTACAGGGAGATCGGCCACCTGTGGTGTAGTGGTTGGTCCAGGATCGGTAGGTCCTGGGTTCGATTCCGGGCCAGTTGACCCGTGTTAGATGGTCTTTAACAACGGTTACCAGGGGCTGGCTTGATTAGGGACAGAGGGGGGTTTGGGCTCTAGGAATGGTAAAGCGCAGGATTAAGCGTGGAATAAAAGAGATGTAATTTATAATGAAAGTAAAAAAATGTACTTATAAGGTCCAGTCTGAATTGTTGCAGTTGATCAAACTTCACCGTTTCAGCAAACCAGGTTCAGCTGAATCAAATCTGGTTTGTCAAACTAAGTAGATCAAATAGTCCTTTGAAATTTCGACCTCCTGGACTGGCCCTTACCACATGTCTTTCCTCATGTTCTCCCCCTTGTAGAAGTTTGGGAAGGTCCAAATAGTAGTTCCTCTTGATCAAGGAAAAGCCTCCAGGTCTCGTTTCTCAGGGTGAGTACGCAGGGTGACAAGTTCTTGAAAAGTAGGGGAACTTAGTCCAACCCTGAAAAGTCATTGAATTTCTCTGCAGAGCCTTGAAATTATTTTCGCAGGCCATATCATAAAATTATTCATAACTGGAAGAGACTTGGCCCCCCAAAAATGTCGAAAAGCATCACCACAAGGAGTCATGTCAATGACTTACTGAAGAGTCATGGACTTGAATGTCCCAGGATCCTGAAAAGTGACAGAAAACTGAGGGAATTTTTAATGCAAGAAAACTTGTCAGACTGGTATGGTATTTAAAATTATGAGGGCATGACCGAAATTTTTATCGCTAATGTGGAACTTACCGAACTGGAGAAATGTCAAAATTTTAAGAGATAAAGGTCAGGCACACCTTTAATTGTTATCTAATTTCAATGTGAAATTCCATGGTTGCTGTCTCTAATCAGTTATTGTTTTGTTTATTTCAGATCTGTCGAAATCTGGATCTTCCAAAGGAGATATCTTCAGCCAAAAATGAACACTATGGAACTTTGATCAAAAGGTCCAAAAAACATTGGTGTGGAGTAGTATTTGTTTTTTTAGAGCAGCATGTTTAGCAGTATAAGGAACTTTGTATACAGGCATAGGAAAAAATTTATTTTCACAGGTATATTTATTGGTGGTGCGTTTGTTGCAAATTATTATCTACAGAAAAAAATCCGGGACTGGCAAGAAGCTTTGGCGAAAGAGTACATTGAGAAAACACGCCGCAAGTTCCTCTTTGAAAACACTGAACGAACATGTAATCAAACTACTTTATCTTTTGCAATCAAGCTGCAAAATGTTATTACGGAGACTCTTAACACAGCAGCTGTTGTAAACTCCATAAAAAATGGGCATGTTGACAAAGTGAAAGCCTGGGAAGAGCTGAAAGGACTTGTTTTTACTCAAGTGGCCCTCATTATTTATGCAGAGGTTATGCTAGCTATTGTGGTCAGGATTCAAGTAAATGTTGTTGGTGCTCAAAGTTATCAGGAATCTGATGAGAATCCAGTGATTCTTGATGAATTGCAAGAGAAATATCTGTCTCAAAGCTTGTATTTTCTCGGAGAAGGAATTGTAAAATTAAGGAAATATATAGAGTCAAAAGTGAAGCCAATAATGGACAAAGTCTCCCTCAAACAAAAGTTATACTTGAAAGATCTGCAAGAATATTTTTGGATGATTCAGTCAGCTTTGAGCTCTGACAATCAGGATCCATTGAAAAATATGGCAGATTTCATTTTCCCTCCTCTTGTACTTGATGAGCCAAATCCTGTTCTCAAAAACTGGCTTCAAGATACCATTGACATATTAAATAGTAATGATGTCCAGTTTTTAGCCACTTCCTGTATTAGTCATGGCTTCTCTGTTGTCATGGACACATCGTCTCAAGTTTTTCTTGAAAAATTCAAAGAATTGCCGGAAAATACAAGAATTAAGGAAAATGGACCATCTAGCTCTGGTTCTGCCAATTGCCTATTGAATGGAGCCTCCTCAAAATCTGTTAGCAAAAGTGATTGTATTAATTTAAATGACATTTCAATCCCAATGGCGAAAGTAATACCTATAGTTAATGGTCTTCTAGAGAATTGCAATGGACCGAATCATCTCAATCCATGGATCAATGTAATTATTTCCTCTGACAAGATCAATACGTTAGGAGCAAATATTTTTGAAGGTTTTTGTCCATCCAGTTGATCCTTCTAAAGATTTAAATGATCTTTTTTATCTTCTCAATGTGGTAAATGTTACATTTTTTATTTGGGGTTTAATTATTTAGCTGTTATTCTTTTATACTGTCACTCTAAATAAATGAGTATTTTTTTTCCCTTGGTTTATGCTTGCTTACATTTAATCTTTCACAATCTGTCAAAAATACTGAGAGTAAATGAACTTACATTCAACCAAATGATAATTTTTTGCAGAATTATTGAATCCTGTAGCTCCTGGGTAAATTAAAGGGGACGGCAACCTTAAAAACAAGTTTGGCTAAATCGACAAGGTAAAATGTGCAATGAACGATGCCGAAATCCGTTTGCGAATATCTGCACCAGTTGAGCCGCTATCACAAAAAAACAGTTGAGGGAAAAACGTCATGAGCTCCGTCCCGCACTTCACAGTCCGCATTCTGCATTCTGTCTCCGGTGTCAAGAGGCTGACGCGTGTTCGCGACAAGTTATTAGTTTGCTCCGATCTCGCTGGTTCCTGGTTGACTCTTTTTTTCTTTGCTTAGGTGTGACTATTAAGGCAACCTGGTGGTGCCAGACAGCGAATGCACCAGACTTCAAGTTGTGCGAGGGAGCGCATGACTTCACCAGTCAGACTTACAATAAGTCTCTGCCGATTTTGTGAATTTCCATTCGGGACAGAGCCATTTTGCTTCTTATACCTTCCTGCTTCAATTTTTAATATATATCTCATTTTCGATTTTAGAGTTGCCGTCCCTTTTAAGCTAGGCAGGTTGTATGATCATAAAGAACAGCATCCACACGTGCAGAGTTACCGGAACATTGGTGGAATAAATTATTGCTGAAATGTATCTTACTCCATTGATGCCTACCAATGCACAGTTGAAAGTTGTTCCAGCAAATTTTCGTAAAAGGTTGCTCTTGCGGATAAGGCCTAATAATTAAAAAAAGTGGCCAAGAACTTCATATATGTAGTACCCCAAGAAAATTTAAAATCATGACTAAAATGGTGACTGAAAAACCCACCTAAAATATATCACAATACTTCTGGAAAAAAAAAAAAACAATATTTTCATCTTTCTTTTAGATCAATCTAATGATGAGACTTTTGATAAAAACTGCTTTCAGTGCTTGAATATAAAAAACTAAAATAACACTGATCTTTGAATCTTTAGCTTTATTGAATGAAAACATTAGAATGGGAGTAACAAGCCAGAAGAGCAGATTGGGCTATCCCTGAGTCACTCCTATGTTTTCTAATGGGACTTTCTGCCATCACTTTTAATTAAAAACAAAAATTCATCATTAGTCTCTTCTTTGGATGATGTTCAAACACAGCTATTACCTACTTTCTTAGATTGCATGGCAGTTACAGTTGAAATTGTTGTCAAAAGTGATCTTGGAGTGTTAAAGAACATATCTTATCATTGACATCTTCAAGATTAATCATTTCCCTACCGTCAAAGATAAGGAACAAAAACAGTTCTTGTTGCTCTTACTGAAAATAGGGCTTTCATAGGTACCTACATGGTGTGAAAGTTTCACTATGAAATTTAAAAGGAAAATTTAAAGGTAACTGTTAATAGGAAAAAATACTTTAATACACCTAGTTAAATTTTTCTGCAGAGCAATTTTGTCAAGTTGGGTTGAAGAAGCAGAGTTGAGGAGCTTGGAGGACTTGTTGCATAAGTGCAGCTTTTGTTATTTTAAGACATAAGTACTTACGCTGGAAAATAACATGGAGTCTTATGACGGAGAGAAAGTTCAAACTAACTTTTTGATTCTTGGAAATTGGATTTTGGTGGCGAGTTTTTCACAGAATAGGTTTTTACTAAGTTAAGAACCTGTCAAACTACCCGATTGTTTTCCTTTCTTTGTCAATTCCTGTTCGAAGCAATGTATACAATTACATGTGTTGGAAGATAACATAAATAAATAGAAAAAATAAAAATATGTCGCAAGACTAGTATTATGTGAAATCAATAATATCTGAAATTATGCACCTTGTCCTCTAAGACCCTCAATCAATATGTTTTCAACAGGAGCATTGTAGTATCTTCATGAAAAAATTGTGAAACCTCAGTTCATTTATAAGTCCAATGAAGGGCTAAAGTTGAATTTTATTCCAAAAATTCTCAGCCTCCAATATGCAGTTTAAAATTTGGGAGGGCAAATAAGAGAATTGAGTCTTTTGATCAGGTGCATAAAAAATAAACGCAACACATTACTTGACTGAGATACATGAGAGAGTACTTTTCGCAGCTTAAGTGCCCCGAGGAACAATTTTCACTTTAAAAGGGTTGGGAGAAAGATTGATTCCATTTCTAAGGTCATTGAGATCGGGCAAAGGACTTCCAAATGGACATTCTATTGAGAAGTGTTGGAAAAACGCAGCTGTTGAAACAAAGAGATTGTGCCGAGCAAAAGTTTCGCCTGGACATACTCGCTTACCTAAAAAAGACGAAAAGTAATTGTAATAAGTATATAGTCAAAATTGTCATTAATTAAAGTCATCTTCATTCTAAGTTGGTACTCCTCAGCCAGGAAGAGGCGGAGGAAAGTAATAATCAAGCGTTTGGTATGGACACGCCTTAAAATATGAAAAAATTCAAAAAGAAAACTTGTTAGTGTATACCTACATGCAACAGTATATGAAAAACTTGCAATGCTTTGGCTTCTGACAGGAGCCTTCTTCAGGCTAGAAAGCAAACTGTTACACCATCCATGGAAAAATCAAATCAGATTGGAAATTTTTCATACAAAATGTACACAATTTTGAACTGTCTTGGTGGCTCATTGTCAGTGCCTGAAATGTTTTAGCTAGTGTTAAGTCAGTTTTCATTTCCATCACTGGGTCTAAATCCCCCCCCCCCCCCCGGAAAAAATGAATTCATAGCTCCCTTCAGGTCTTCAGTTTCATATTAAAACTGTTTCTTTTTGCAAATTTCATTGACATTCCTTGACTGGAAGTAAAAATGCTCTTCATTGAAGGGTTTATGGTGAAGACCATTTATCAATTTTTCTCTTAAAAAGCAAAATTTTCAAACAACTTACCCACACCAAAAGGCAAAGAGGGATCTTTCTTGATTATTTCTCCATTCTCATCCAAAAAACGCATAGGGTCGAAAACGTGCGGGTTTTTCCAGAGTTTTTCATCTCGATGATAGTTGTACAAGTTGGGGGATAAAAGCGTGTTCTGCAAAGCAAATTCATTACATTTATACATACGCACTACAGTTGCAATTATTTAATTCAATTCAGCCAAATCTACTGCAAAGAATATGAGAATGCACAATTGATTAAATTTTACAGTTAGATGCTTTGAAAAATAAAGCGTTACACGTCCTGCTCCTTAAAATTTGCGTTCACTCTTTCTGCATCTATAAGCCAAAATAAAAAAAAAAAATTAATTTGATGAGAAACAAATGTTAAATTCCAAAATTTTTTTTTTTTTCTCCTGCAAAGTTTCTTTCAGATCCTTACAGTCTTCATTCTTTGATGCAAGATAAGTAAACCATTTTTAAGCCATACAATACAATAGAGGAACCATTGGACTTAAAGAACATTTACAATAGTAGAGAGAAAAAGATCAAACCTCTACAAGAAGTAAACCTACCAATAATTCCAGCTTTTATCAAGCTTCACTGATCAGATCTTTGCCCTACGGAGTGCTGTGACGGTAGAAAACCATCAGCCAAGGGCAGCAGCTTACCTCTCGCCCACTCCTCATTTTTTGCCGCAGCTGCCTTCCAGGACTAAATACTCAGCACCACTTGGCCCTCTGGGCAGTGGGCACTCTAGATCTGATTGTCGACAGCGACACATGCCTCTTTGCTCCAGTTCCTTTCCGCACTCTGCTCTGCCCACCAAAGCTCATTCTGACGCATCTCGGCACTCTAAGAGGCAATTCATATCAACCAGCCTTTTAAAGGGCCACCAGCTAGAGCACCCAAAAAGGAATTCCGCCCATGTTCAGCATTAGCTTTAGCTTATTTGAAATTCCTTCGTCCAATGGACTCTACCAAAATTTGAAGGAGGTGCTGTCATGCACAAATAGACTTGGCATTATGAACTGTCCAAAATAAGGAACCAATGGCTATATTTTAACTATTAAAAAATTGGAGAATTGAACAATAACTCACTGACAATTTCTGAAAAAATTTAGGAAAAATTCACCAATTGATAGGGGCTGTAAAAAGAGGAAAGATTGGGGAAACAAATAGGAAGAAATTAGTTTGTGATGATGTACCTCTGGAATCCAATAATCTCCTAATTTAGCCGCTTTGGTGCATCTATGAGTGAGGGCCATAACGACAATTGGCTTCAACCGTAAGGCTTCTCTAATGGTTGCTTCAGTGTACGGCATACTAAAAATAAAGAAGAATCGAGGTCAAAATTGTACGAATAATCTGATTGTGGGAGGCAGAATCATCAATGCAGAGGCGTATCATTCCATGAGCCATGAGTGTTGTTTCCAAGACAAAAGGAAAACTACAAGCATCCATTTGGTGTAATTTTAAAGAATTGAACAAAAGCGTTCGTCATACTCTTGAATACAAAATTTTGTGTGACAAAAATAAATGCCAAAATCCAAAATGGCGGATAAAGCCTAGAACGCTGTTTTGATACATACTCAACAGTTTTGAGTGAAAACAGGTGTCCTTCTACTGTTTCTTGTGCGAGAGATGAGAGAATAACAAATAAAAATTTCTGATCCGTTCAGGCAGGTGCAGGAGGAGAGGTAAGAGAATTTTTCCCCTTTTGTACTCCTTCATGACTCTTAAAAGACTTTAAAGGGACTTAATTTCCCAAAAACGCAATAGGATGTTTTATTTTATGGCTAGAATATTTTAGGAATGTATTCTACTTTAAGATCAAAGAGGTTTCCCTTCATGACATTCGAATTTCATTCATATTTATTACACGGAACTGTGTGGGTACGCAGAACTAATATGAGAGCCCAAAAATTCAAGATTTGAAAAACGTTACTTTTTCCTGTCATGTAAAGTTGGTAGCCTGCTACGTCCGACAATCAGGTCTATTTCTTTTTGCATATTGATCTGGACTTCAGGATGATAAAGTAGGTACTCAAACAAAAATCCATGAGCTGCTGATACTGTTGTCACAGCAGGGAACCAAAAATCAACAAGAATGTTCACCAGATTGTCCTCTGAAAAAGCAAAGAATAGAGATTTACCTCCAATTTTGTAAAATTTCTTAATTCATTCAGCTGCTCCGTTGTTTTTGGACAAAAAAAATTGTTTACATAACTGTCTCATTTGTTTAGCAGATGGTTAACACGGAACATCCAGAAATTGTTTTAAACTTTTTGGACAAACTTAGTAGAACGAACAGTTTTATCTCCAAATGAGCCATGGAAGAAATAACAAGAAACAATCTTAAATGTAGCGTAAGGCACTGTAACTTATTTGCATTTTATGAATTTTTGCAGTATTTGCTACACAGTTTACTTATACATTCATGAAATTTGGAATTTTTCATTAAGTGCAAACATGAGTAAACAAAAGAGAAAAAGAAATTAGAAGGCTCCGTTTTCCTGTAATGTGCATTAATTAAAAGAGGAGAATAAAACTGGGAATTATGACTGCTATCAGTTCTTAAAAGACAGGTACCTAGCTATTTGGGCTGTTTCCGGCTCCACTAAATTCGGGACTTCTTATCCTTTGGTTTGTTGTATATCATCCCCAAGAGAGAGCATGCCGAATTTCAGGTGGATCAGCCATATATTAAGGGGACAGAGGCTCTTAAAATTTGTTGGCTTAAAATCAATTTTAATTTAAGAGCATAGATATTCGTTTAGAGATCATCCGAAATTGAATTCAAACAGGTGTATTTCCAGTTCTGTGGTCACAATTGGCCTGAGAATAAGTTGAGTGGGGTATTCTTTGGCACTTTTACAACTTTTCGCAAAATCTTCAGAGATATTTCCCTCAGAAAATTCGGTTTACCAGCATAATGGACACAGATTTGAATTGTATGATACAAAACTTGTAATAACAGAGGTTAGCTCACAACTGACGGCAAGTTTTTCTGGCAAAAATTGACCTGAAAATGTTGCTTGTATGATGGTCTGTGCTCATGATGATAGAAAATGACCCATCCTTCATTGTGTGTCAAAATGATTAAGTGAAACACCTATTTATACCTCATAGGTACAATTGGACTGCATTTTGCAATTTGGAACTATAAATTCTGGCTCCTCTGGAAAAACACGTATGTGCATCGGGAAAGTAATGGCACATACGTCGTTTTTAAAGCGGGCTAGAATTTATAGTTCCGAATTGCAAAGTGTAGTCCAATTATAAAAAAAAAATCCCCATGCAACTTTCCGTTTTTTTACTAGCTTTAGGCCTTGTCTCCACGGGACGTTTTCGTGGGATTTGTCCCAAGTTCGAATCGCAGGAATGAAACTTCTGGGATTTTTCCCAGTTACCGTCTCCACGGGACGGGGCTCATACAGTCCTGCGACTAGTTTGCGCGGGAAGATAAATTAGTTAAAGTCGAGTATTTGACCGGGATTAAAATAATAATTGTACTCAATTGACAATTGGACACATTATTTTAACTAAATAAACATCAACAATGTCGTAATGAATAAAATATCGCACAATTCTCCTTCACTTCTTCTTCTTCTCTTAGTGGGTCCTGGGGATACAAGTACCATACTTGGTACTGGGAAAAATATTGATTAACTCAATATTTTTCCCAACTTCGTAAGTGGGATTTTTCCCTGGGACAAATCTCGTGAAATGGCTCGTGGAGACAAGGCCTTAGGTATTCCTTAATGCTAAGTTTTCAACCCCACCAAGGTCCACTCTAAATTGACGATCTTATTCGCTTTCTTGGCTATCACAATCACAAATTTGATCATTTCTATGGCAAGAACATGTAAAATTGAAACAATGAAAATAAAAAGAGTCACACAAAATGAAATTAATATTGCATGAGAGAAATAAAATTCAAACAAACCATTGTATGAAGGATGGTTGTGTTTTCCATTTAGCATTTTTTCAACAAAAATGTCAATGTAGCCTCGCAAATGCTCACTGGAATGATTTTCCTTGCATTTGTTCACCATATCCTGGATAACAAATAAACAAATGAAAGAGGGAACGATAATTTAATGAAAGTCATGACAGAATAATTTTACACAATTAGCAGGTTCTTTGGTAGTTTTAATAGTCAATTAGTTTTTAGGCCCAAAAAATATCTAAATGAAAAAATATTTTCCTTAATTTTTTAATGCATCACAGGACATAGAAACAGCAAATTTAAGTTAATGGACATTGAGCAGCTTAGAAGGGTAAAAGTTGTTGAGGAGGAGGGTAAAACGATTTACTGATTGATGATGTCTTATTGCTGCACTTTTCTAGATGAAGCAGATCGTTGCAAAAACTACTCTCAGAATGAAAAATTTTAACTCACGCCAAGGTACTTATTTAAAATGGTTGAAGTATCAACGATGTCTTTCAGTCCGTATTTCCAAGGGAGAACGTACTGGAGCCAAGGTAAAAAGTCAAAGGCTCCTCCGGTCGGTTCTGTGCTACTAAGAAAAAGGAAGGCAATATCAACCAATTTCACAGCGTCAGGAAGTTGACTGATGGAAAGTCTTTCACCATCAAAGACATTCAAAATCATATTCAAATGGAAAAGATAAAAAATCTGTGGTACTTCAGCAACCCCATCTTTCATGAGCACCTGGAATACATAAAAAATATAATTAATTGCGTTTATTAAATTAGGTTGGCAAGGCGATTTAGATAGCTCTAAATGACTAGCAAAAACTGTTACAAAGCAGAAATATTTGGTGCCTGACAATAAAAACCGAAGGCAGAGAAAAAAACTGTTAGATTTATGATAATATCAAGTATGTATTGAAGAAAACTGCTCAGTAAATCAATTTAAGTCTGTTGTAAACCAAGTCCAGCATTGTAAATGCGCAACTTGGAGAAAAACGAGAAAAGACAGAGAATGTAAAGAAGTCAAATTTTGCTGAGTAATAGGCAAGCAGGAGACTTGAGTACTGAGGGTAGGGGACAGGAAGATTGAATAATACACCGCACGGAGAGAGAGGAAGAGCAGAGCACAAAATGATGCTGTCATGGCCATGTATAGGGAGTTAAGCTAAACGTTCTTTCCCCTCTCACTGACATTTCAGGTTTTCCCTGACCTTTGGATTCTCCATCTTCTTGACTTCCTATGATTCTTCTTGACTTTTTTCCCCAAATAAAAAAAAGCAAATATAAACATAGTTGAGCACAATGTAATGGTACTGGTCAGTAAAGGCTCAAATTGCCAAGAGAAAAATTTGATAAGGTTTAGGAGAGAGCACTGAGTGGCTGAGTATCAAGGCAATGTGAGCTCATGCAGAAAAAGACAATCTTGCATGAGACATAAACCTCAAAAACAAGTTGGGCTTAGTAAAAAGTCTCAAATACTTTAAGACCAAAATAATTTAGATCAATGATATGATATTGCACATCATAAAATTTGGACTATTGGGACACAAATAAAGTGATCACTCTAAAGTCAATCTGACAATGAGTGTATAATAACTAATTATTAAAAGGCGTACGGATCAAGTATGCTTGTGAAACAAAATTATATTTGCTTACTGAATTTTCATCCGTTATTAATGTGATAAGATTTCTGGTCTCTTCTTCAAGAACAGTTTCGAAAGATTCACTGCGCCGTCCATAACCCAAGTCCCGAAAATTTCGTAAAGCGTAGCGTTTTTGCTCAGACCATTCATCCCCATCCGTGAATATTACACCTGAAAGCAACATCATAGAACTTGAATTATTAAGTATGACTGTCAAAATATTCACGCACATATTAAATAATGCTAAAATATGTATGTTGAGGAAGTTTTTGGTTTAGACAGACTCTGAGATTGGAGAGAAAATCTTAGTTGAAGATTGCTTAAATATTTTTTTAATGTCATTATGTCTTGGGATATTCATCATTTCTTCAATCTAAGTCTTCTAAATTGGGACTGTTTTTGTAAAAATACAAGGGTTACCTAGGAAGTTAGGTGCATTTTGATCTTATTCAGAAGTTAACTAAGTTAGATGAAGTTTCATAATATTTGTGAATTGTTCTTACTTTCAAATTTACTTTAAATTAAAACTCAATACAATTCGACAAAAGAGACGTTCGGAAGGATTAGTTTACTTGCACCATCGCCAGTGCAAGTTTCTCATCACCTCTAGACTCATCGCGACGGTTATGATAAAGTTGACATAAATAAGTACGGATCATATTTGAAAAAATAAGTGGATAAAAAAAAAAAGTAAGAGTATTATTTTGACCTAAAAACTAATTTTGAGCAGGTCCCCACTGACAGTGAGACAGTATATAATATATAAAATAGGTTAATAGTTGAAGTACCACTTACAGAATTGCTGCGTCAGAAAACTTTTGGTTGAGTTTTGAACTAAGCCAGACATTTATCATCATGCTACCAAGTAACGATACCATATATATTACTATGAAAAAGGTTTCAATAGAACTAGGTAAAATGACTAAATATACCCTTGTGCTTCACAAACTGTGTCTCTTTAGCCTCTTTTTAAACACTGCTCATAAGATTCACACAAAAGAGTATTTCCGTTTTTAAAGACTTACCTAGCACTTTATCCTTGTTCCGGGAGCGAAGTTTGGCGACTAATCCTGGAGATCTTCCTTGAAACTCTGGTTTCGAGAATAGTTCCCGAATGCTGTCAGGATCATTAATGAAAACAACCGGATGGTTGCCGAGGTAGGTGCTCATCATAGGAAGGTCAAGTTCCTTCACTAACTGATGAACAGCCATGAAGGGATGTTTAAAGTTACGCCAATATATTTGTAGCATAGACCCAAAAATTGGCCATCGCACAAGACCTGTAACCAGAGAAGGATATGTTGAGAAGCAAACCATTAGCAGATAGATTCTAAAGTTATGCTTAAAAGCTGATAGCCCCATTTCAAAAATTATTTTAGTTTTTTTTTATTCAGTTTAGTGAAAAGTTTTGTCCAAACATTAGTATTCACTAATCAGAGAAATTAATGTTTCATTAAACTGTCAGGGAATCAATGAGTTAAAAGAAGTTGTGAATTCAGTTTGTCGTAAATTTTCTTCTGTTATAACTTCCATATCAAAAAAGAATATTTTGACTGCGAAAATAGTAATCAAACTTAGTCATCAACATTGCGCCTAGAGGAGGGATGAAAGTTCCAGCGCCTTTTTTTTTCCACTCATGCTTGATGCCTCTCTGTTAAATTCAGTCCATTTGATCAATAAATGACAATTCAGACAAATAAAATATCCATACTTTAAAAAAATAGGAGAATTTGCGATGTAAAGAAAACATGCACTATATTTTTAAATTTTTTTGCAATACATTTCAATTAAAGGAAGCCCCCCCCCTCCTACCCATGAGAAGTGGAGACTGGCCCTTCTCACCGAGTGTCTCCAGTTGGCCGGCCTGCCTGACACCTTGCTTGGGAAAACTCCCTGCTCTTTGGGTCAAAGAAATAAGAGAAACCCCTCCAATAAGAAGATGGGCAACATACACAACACTCTACTGTAGTAGCAATGGCTTTACCATGTAATTGCACTTTACTGCAACCTGCGCTACTTGTGTAACAGAACATCACCTCAAAGAATTATATTTTTAATTCAGTACACATATTCTAGCTATCATTATGATAATACAGGGTGATCCAAAAGTCCCTTCCACCCCCTCTAACTTTTTACCTAATTGAGGTAAAGATTTGAAACTTGGGGGATATTCCTAGGTCAAAGGGAGCTACTTTTTGGCCCCCCTAAAATTTTCAGGGGGGCCCCCCTTGGGGGGACAACGGCCCCCAACTTTTAATTTTCAAATAGGAAGACCCCCTCTGTGATAGCTCGTTCGAAAGAGCATGAAAAAAGAAAACTTTTCGCGCAAACCCGAAGTCAATATCTCAAACCGTTTCAAAATGGCGGCCGGTTAAAGTTCAAAATGGCCGAAAATTCACACCGGTTATTTGTCGATGGATTTGCGCAAAAATCGGTATGTAGGGGTATTTTGACACGAGAAAAACGAATTTGACGTTAGATTTTCAAAAAAACCGAAATTTCCTAAATGGCGGCCGGTTAAAGTTCAAAATGACCAAAAATTGATTTTTTTAAATTCTAAGTTCAAATTTGTTTATCTTATGCCAAAATACTCTCAAATTCCAAGTTTTAGGCAAATCCATCAGTAAAAAACCGAGGTGACAATTTTCGGCCATTTTAAACTTTAACCGGCGGCCATTTTAGAAATTTCGGTTTTTTTAAAATCTAACGTCAAATTCGTTTTTCTCGTGTTAAAATACCCCTACATATCGATTTTCGAGCAAATCCATCGACAAATAACCGGTGTGAATTTTCGGCCATTTTGAACTTTAACCGGCCGCCATTTTGAAACGGTTTGAGATATTGACTTCGGGTTTGCGCGAAAAGTTTTCTTTTTTCATGCTCTTTTGAACGAGCTATCACAGAGGGGGTCTTCCCATTTGAAAATTAAAAGTTGGGGGCCGTTGCCCCCCCCCCAAGGGGGCCCCCCTGAAAATTTTAGGGGGGCTAAAAAGTAGCTCCTTTTGACCTAGGAATATCCCCCAAGTTTCAAATCTTTACCTCAATTAGGTAAAAAGTTAGAGGGGGTGGAAGGGACTTTTGGATCACCCTGTATTTAGAATGTGTTCCATATAGTTGTGAATTTTATCAGCCTTGAATTTTTATTGGAATTCCAACATTAATTTTGGATTGTCACCCACTTCAATTTAAAAGTCTGAAGTTCATTATACTCGCTGAAGGCTGGGTGAGAAGCTAGCTTGACTCAGCGACATGCCCAAGTCCATATTTATTACTTTAAATGAAAAAAGAGGCTTGATAACCATATGTACCCTCTGAAAGAACCTCATCTTGTGCATGCAATAATTTACAAGTCTAATCATTTGTAAATGAGATGAATAAGTAGCAGAGGTGGAGTTACGATGATATTAAAAGCGAACAAGATAAAAATAGAAATTAATTTTTTCAGCACTACTAATTTCCGTTTTTCATTGCACTAGTCAATTTTTTCTGCATATAAGAGTCTTTGTCTCATGGAACAGGTTATCAACATGTTTATTACAAATGATCTGCAGTCACAAGATTATCTATATGAGGAAAATCAATCTTAAACCTCATTCCATCAATCTTTCTTTCTTCCTATAAGCGTAGAGCAAACACAAATAAGAGGGTAACATGTCGTTTTGGTTACATTATTCAGATAATCAGAATTTACATAAAGATAAAAACAGATATGAGTAAAATACCTGCGTAAATTGTTCCATATTGAGCTATCAGCACTTCTGAATAACTGAAGAGTGCCCGGTGAAAGCAAAGAGGGAGTAAATATGAAACAGTTAACAGACTACTTAAAGGTTCCACTTAAAGTGTGTTCAGAGCTCACTACTGGACGATACCATTTTCTGCAGCATGTCTATAACCAACACATGGAGCAACGCGGCAGAGAGGCAACAATGCTCAAACATCCAAAAAACAGTTGCAATTGGTGCACAGACAAAATCAGTTAAGGACTCTTCTCTGCCTAATTGTTAGGGTCTCTCAGTCAGCTGACGACTTCATAATTGTTTTGTGTGACTTTTACACTGCTGATTAAACAGTCTTCAAAAAGCTAGTACACCATACAGTAACTTTTGAGACTGTTAAAGTGGTCATGATTATTTCTTGAAAATATTTAGATGAGAGTAGTCTATTTTGGATTGAAATTTCTAGGACCTTGGTAGTTTCCTCTGATATCATATGAACTCATCTTTTTTTGAGTCCAAGGAATAACAACTTGCTTTTCCAAAAGCTCAGTAGCTGGCTCAGTATGGAAAAAGGAGTGCCTGATCAAATGAAGGTAAAAATTCTTATGGACTTGCTTTTTTTCCATAGAAGAGAAGTACAATCCAAAAGTTGTGTTGAGAGTAGACTAGAACAAGATCGGATAGTGCTACAACTGCAAAATACAGCAGATGAGAAGCACTTGAAATGATATTTATTTACTCATTGTTCCTTGCACTATGACACAATGCCTTATCAGTGAAGAACAAAATACACATTACACAGACTAATTTTGACACCATAAATTCTAGAAAGTTCTCATTAGTTCATCGAAAATTTTACTGCCTACCGTGCCTGTGAAATTTTTGTTTCATCTTGTCGGTTGGTTTGCAATAAACTATGAATTTAAGGAATAAGGGGGGGATTTTTCTAAATCTTGCTTTCATTCCAAAACGTTGGATGAACAAGATGCCTGAGTGAAATACTTGGCTTACTTAATATTTCATTAGGTTTAGGTTTTGAGGAGAAGTTGTAGGGAAAAAATATTTTCATCATTGGTAGTTTGAGTGGAGTCCATTTTTGTGGATCTTTAAGAGGTGGGAGAGATAGTTATTCATTAAACAACCCACTTTCAAACGAGATGGTTGACACTTGCAATTGCATTCTTCTAGAAATCTCAAAATCGCTTACACTATTTAAAATCCTATTTCCAAACTATAAAAAAAAAAATTCTGTGTTATTATGAGTAAAGACTCCAATTATGGTAGACAGGAAAATTTGACTTGGAAGTTTTGATCTTTTTAAGCAGTGAACATATTAAAGACTACAGTAGTGACTGTCACAAATGAGGTAGGATTTGATGAAACATGTACGACTTACCTGAAGGATAATCTTTTGGACGTGAAATCATAAACTGATGCACAAAATAACAAATAATCACAATAAAAATTAAAATCAACCCGAGAGACATAATGCTCGAAATTTTAAAATAACAATGCATCGACTTGGAGGAATAGTGTGAGTTTATTATCTGAAGATGCTCTTGTTTCCCTGCTTTCTCCTTTTTTTTTTTATCTTTTATCACTTGAGACTCCCACTCTCCCCTATTTTCCAGTGCTGGTTGTATTCATCTTGCATTTCTTTCAAAAAAAGGTTACTTTACACTATTGAGATTATTTTCAAAATCATAAAACCTCCATGTTTCCATTTAAAAATTATTTAGGATTAGCATATTTCTATTTTATCTGGTATGAATCAAGAGATAGAAAATGCTCACTAGGGTTTAACTTGGTACTTTCCTCTGTTTTTTCTTGTTCTTTCTCCACAAAGATAAAAAACTGAACAAGAGCAAAATGTGTTATTAATAGCAACATAGAAACTAGGCTGTGGCTTGTAAAAATTTTGGGAATGGAGCTGAGTTTATTTAGTTTTGCATAATTCATTACATTTTTGTCCCAAATAATATAAAACCTAACATTCTAGGTAGCTTCAATCAGCTCCTGTCAGCAATAACCTATGACTAGAAATGTAAAATTGTTTGGCAACTAAATAAATGTTAAAGAAATATATCTGAGAGATTTTCATACGGACCCTCAGAGGGATCTCTAGAAAGGGGGCTCTACGTCCATAACTTTCTTGCCTTTTGAATAGATTTACTTTCAAACTGCAATTTTTCAGCAAGAATGGGCCTGGCGCAAACTTTTGCTAGAGCAAAAATAAGAGTTTATTTTATCAGTAAATGTCTTAAAAATGATGATGAGCGCATTAGCAAAGTTTGAAGTGCACTCCTAACTTCCCAATCTGCGTAAGAAATTTGAGTTTTTAGATACTACAGCACAGGTGAACATTTCCTTAAAGGAGTCTCTCTATTCAACCCTTTCGCAACAGCATTACCCAACATAGCTGACGCTTCCGCGCGCAAATCGCAATCGGGAGCACAAAGGAGATTATAACAATTTGTTAACAATCTAGCGTGTTTACATTCACGATTTCTTCGCGTTGATAAAGATCCACCTTGGTTGACCGTGTACTCCCGATCGCAAATTGCGCGCGGAAGCGTTGTCTATGTTGAGTATTGCTATTGCAAAAGGGTTGAATGGAGTGACTCTTCTAACGAAATGTTCACCTGTGCCATAGTATCGTAAAACAGGAGGCTAAAAAAACGCAAATTTCTTATGCAGATTGTAAAGTAAGGAGTACATCACAAACTTTGTCAGTCACTCATCGTGATTTTTGAGACATTTGCTGATAGACATGACTCTCATTTTAGCTCTACCAAAAGTTTGCAATAGACCTATAGTGTTCAAAAGTGTTGTTAAAATCATATATTAGATGAACAGATCCACTTGCTTTGAAATGTATTTCTTCTAGGGTTGGACTAACAGTAAATTTGCGTTATCAAGAGACGGGCAAGATTATTTGTTTCCCCTGCGATATAAAAATGAATGAGTCAGAATAGTATACTTGCGAATGTTGCAATACATGTCTTAAATTGTGAATATTCCCATTTTGTATCCTTTGGTTGGCTGCCATAAACTTTGCATGACTGCTTTTTGTGAGGTGCTACAGAATTTTATACTGCCAAACCAAGGTAATTCAGATAGACAGCAAGTTTGAAACAGCACAAACTTTAAACGAGAAGTTTCAGTTTTAAGGCAACCTTAGGCACAGTTTTACCGTACTGAGTGCAAACATGGTGAATGTTTGAGTTGGATCTAGTTGTGTACTGCCTCTAATGCCAAAAAATGGCAATTGCCTTTCAACAGAAAATCATTACTAGAAAAAAAAAAATTGCTTTATTTGCAACTGTGTAAATACTTATGATATCAGATCTTCCTCAACCATGAGCATGGATGTTTAATGATGTCACTTATCTTCATTTTTTACTTGTTTTCTTTCATTTTCTTTGAGGAAATGTCAAGTTTTAACTTCAAACGCTATCCTCCCCTCCCCCACCCCCACATACCACAACATAAATAATAAGAATATTAGACAACCGAAAGACTTTAAGATTTTTAATTTCTTTCCCAATTAATACAGATTTAGTTTATTTTACTTTAAAATGGAAATTAAAAATTTACCATTAGCCAAATTGGGTGTACATTAAAAAACTTACAGCTGTGTGACTCAGTACACACAATGAAAATACAAAATACTTAAAGTTATACAATGCGGTGGTTTTTAAGTTATTTGCATTCAATTATGATGTAGATAAAGAAAGTTAGTTTCTTAAAAAAAAAAAAAAATCTAAATACAAAAAAACTCAAAGCTTGAGTGGAATTTGATTGCTCAATTGATTCATAAAAAATATTTTTAATTTTAAGGGAGATTTAAACTATCGACAAATTTAGAATCATGTTTGAAAAAAAAAAGAGCTGAGATTAAAGGATAAGTAACACGGCAGGAATTGGCCGCGAGGCATGGGTATTACAGCTGTGTCAAAACTTTAGAAACTGCAGTAGTATGAACAAAATTCAATGTCATACAGTGATACGAAATTAATATGTGACATTTTTTACGTGATTTTCTGTCAATTTAGAGAAAAAAAGTCCGAAAAATACAGTAGAAATTCACTGAGCTAACACTCATCTTTGTCAATTTTCAAAATAAGGAGACTTCTTTAATTTTGATTTTGCCAATTCCAGCTGGTCTCTCTCAGTATCAATAAGTAGATACAGGCATGAACTGATTTCTTGCATCTGACACTTGGAATCTATGCAACCAGCTATGTGGTAGCATTAACCAAGGAACAATAAAGATATCAATATTTGAGAGAAACATGTTTGGTTTTAGACTTTTGGTAGGTATTCCTGTACTATCAGAGGGTTGAAGAAAATTTGCGCAGTAATTAAGGTCACTATCTTCATTGCATTGAGGTGTCTCTAAGTATGGGCATAAGACTTATGCGCTACCTGTGCCCCAAAAACATACCTGGTGGAAATTGGTTTGACAATTACGATGAGCTCATTGAGAAAGTCTGAAATTCACTCTTGATTTTGCTATCTGCATAAAATATTTGGGCATTTACGAGTTTTTTGCTTTGAAAAAAATTTGATGGCAAAGACGTAGTACCATACAGATGAGTGACCTCAGTTTCAAAAGTCCACCCGACACAGAAAACAGTCAGTCTAAGGCAGTTTTTTGAGGAACTACCCATATCCCCTGGTCCAAAACAATGTCTTCTTAAAGAATTTTTACTGTAGGGTTCTTAAAAACAATGAACTTCCCTGCATTTACATAGCCTAAATGGATAGGTAAAAATGAAGGGGGAAAAAAAAGTGTTTCTCATACCTTAAAAAATATTCAAACCTTAGAAAAGTCGGTTGGCATTTTTATTTTTTGGCAAATGAAATCTTCATTGCATGAGTAGGAGTGATTCGGAATCCTTGAAGAGCGACCTTTGCAGCTGCTGCTTGATGTTCATTTTCAAATTCGACAAAAGCGATGTCGTGTCGATTAGGAACAAGACGCACCTCCTTGAATCCAGGGAATCTACGGCAGAAAACATTAACTTAGTGTAAGGGCAATTAGAAATCTATTTAAAGCAACAAAAAAAAAAAAAAAAAAAAAAAACTTAGCAGGAACACTCAACATACTTAGGTCATGATGACATCATTTGGTGGCTTTGCCATCAAGCTTCATGAGGCTTAAGTACAGAGTACAATCTATCATGGTAATCACAATGAATGATGAAAGGGGTGTCCCATAACAGAGGAAGAAGAAATTTCCTATTTTTGGAACAGATTTCCTGATTTACCCTGATCGTCCCTGAAAATTTCCCTGATTAATCTCAGAATTTCTTTTTCTAGACACTATGATTTAATACCTAGCGTGAAATTTTTTGCAAAATATTCTACTGACAGAGAGGAAAAACACGAATACAAAAAGTGCCATCAAGCCGAATGTTTCCAGTGATACAGAATTTTTTCCTTACTCACATCCAAAAAATTGTCTTCACTTTCCCAAACTTTTCCAAGTGATGACCTTGATTCTTTTGTTTTTTCCTTGCCTTTCACTTTTAAGAGTTTGCTTGAAACGTCTCCCGAAAAGTTGAAAAATCAATAAATCGTCATAATTTTTTCCACGTTTTTTTTTTATGTCGTTTTTGACATAAATTTCCTCACCGACCAGGTGATGCGCAAAACGTATGATCGGGCGGATTTCGCACCCTAGAAAGAAAACCAAGAAAGTTTCCAAGAATTCAAATTCAGTTTTCTTAAAGAAAAAATAAAGTATGACAGCAAGTCAGCAACAGTGCAACGTCGTAAATAAAGATACATGGTTTCGCACTTTAGGCATTCATACAGAAAAAGGAGTATACTTACTGATTGAAAAGCATGGATAACATAATTTCATTGGTCTCATCAGGGAGGTTTGTCAGGAACAGGATCTGGTTGGGAGGCTGTTCGGGGACATTAGCAACTAGTCCAGGTGCTGGAAAATAGAACAGAGGACATTAGACTTAACTGACACAAACACTGAAGAGGAGAAAGCTTGTTTTCCAATGTTGTAGCATTAGGAAAATTGTGATCATGTAAGCTCATAAGTCAAGACCAGGAAAATTACATAATTTTCCTCTTGTACAAAAAAATAGCTCAACTAAGTATCTTGTTTGCAGTGTTTAAAAATTTCCACTCCTACTTTTTTGCGTTTGAAAACAAATTAACACAACTCTTAAAGATTTTTTTCAAAATTTGCTTGACACAGAGAAGAAAATGATGAAAATTTTTAAGAATTGATGCTGAGATATTCTCCATTAGAAAAATAAAAAAAGACAGGAAGTCTACAATATCTCAAACTGAGGTATGTGGTTTGAAAGTTTCACTGTCGATAAACAACCTACTGTCTCACCTTTGATGCAATTTTATTTCTTTATTAGAGCACTGAATTGTTATCTTCTAGGTACAAAATATAAGACTAAAAATCCAAAAACTCAGTGGGAAGGTAGTTTTCACAGTTTTGACGAAGTTACAAAAACCTGTCTTTTTAAAACCCTTAAAATAATGAGGATTATTAATCAGATAAAAATTCACCTCCGTCTCAATTTTTGTCCAATTAAAAAAAAAAATTGGACATGATATCGATAGAAGAATGCTAATTCTATGGAAAAATGCATCAAACATTAAACTGCACTCATTCATGCACAAAAATTAGTTCTTGGTTGACATATCCCCTGATTTTGTAGGCAGTATACCTCATTGAGTGCCTGGACTTTTTGACATGGCAAATATTTATCGCTTCAATTTTTTTCAACATAATCCTGAAAGTATGTAGAGCAAAATGGTTGAAATTTATGCCCTGTCGGACCGCAACAAGGTCAAATCAATGCAGATTAACTATTCATTTATCCAAAAATACGAAAATTTTACGGCATCTGATTAAATAAATGACATCAGATCAAAACTAGATTTTGCTCATATGTTTAGGAAGGCAAAATGACCGTTAGAAATTCGAAAAAACCCATTTTGCAGCACCCTTGTTTGCCACTCCAAATCAGGAGAAAATGCAAGGGGGGAGGGGGTCTGAGCTTGCCTTACAAGGGGGGGGGGAGGAGGAGGTCAAGCCCAGTCTTATGTAAGCCTCCACCTTAGAATAAAAAGTAGTATTTTCCAGTAAAAATAAACAAACAAACCTGGCTGGGGTTGAGAACTGAACTGAGCAGGTTGAGGTGCAGCCTGGACGTGTGCTGCTTGCTGATTCATTAATCTTGCCTGCTCCTTAGCAGCTTTCTTTTTGGCTTTCTTCTGCTCGTTGGGGTCATCTACTCCGACGACTCGCTTAACGCGTTTGGGTTTTTCTTGGAAAGTGCCCTTCATTTTTGCTATTGCATCCGAATCTGTTTTAGCATACTGGATCCTCTGTTGGTAAGAAAAATAAAATAAAAAATTAATTACTTTATGAATGAAGTATGAAAGAAGAAAATTGCGAAATGATTATCCAGGCAAGGGAGGTTGCTATAGCAAGGAATCCTACTGTTCAGCGAACATGGATAAGAAAAAACATACCAGGAGGAAGAATGTAAGGACGAATGTTGAAGGACTATCAAATTATTTGTTACATTCTAATTTTTTAGTCAAAGAGAACTTCTCATTTTGTAAGTGCAGCAGCTGGCAAACTAACACTCTTTGTACAACTGAAAACAACAGGGTAACAAACTACATCAGAACAAATAGAGAAAACTCGCAACTGACAATCGATACTACAGCCAAAATAAGGAAGATAACCGCTAAGTTAAATTTAAAAAGGATATTTATACTAGCCGGGAAAAATGTGCCGAAGCGAAGATCTGAGACATTTTGGTTTTCTAGGAACACCCTGATTCTCCTTGATCACCCCTCCTTGATAGAGGGTTACCTAAGCTCATTACCTTCCTATCTATGGGAGTGCAGGAAATGTGGGATCTAAGAGGGGCAGGGTAAACAGGAAAGCCACAATGTTGTCCCCAAAATTTTGCAGGCTTAATTACGCAAGGCATTATGGCAACCATAATCGCACTCCGCATTTATGCAAGAAGCCTATGTAAGATACAGGATTTGTAATTTTTTGGTATACTTGTAAGAATTTTTCGATCATAGTCTTTCAGATTATCTCCTGAAGAGAAGTGCTTTTTATCACACTGATCTTTACTACCTAAAAATTTGGGAACTTCCTAGTGATAAGGAAAACTTAAAAGAAGGAAATGAATACTCCATAAGTATTCTACTTATATTTATTTTTGTAATGAGTTTTGCTACTAAGGCAGTTAGTCCACACCCTTGCAGATGGAGCAATGAAAAATTTGAAAATCTTGGGGCGTTCTCATTTCTGAAAATATACTTGGACAAATCAACAAAATTTGTTGAGAATTAAAATTTCTCATAAAAAATAGACTTGGGTCAGCCTACTGACAATATTCTTGCTGGTGAGGAATAAGGTCGAAGAACTTACTGCAGAAACCTGATTTTTGGCCCTTGATGGTTGTTCCAAACAGGTCAACTGATTGTTTGCAATTCTGTACACACTAACGGGCCAATTACCATTAAAATGTATAGAAATACTTAGAATGAGAAATACAGGACCATCAGCAACACTAATTTGAATTTCTGGCTTTAAATACAAATATCTATTAAGTGTACTGAAACAGTACAAAATAACGTAGAGGCAAGGATACTGATCATAAACCTCTGAAAGGAAGGAAGCAATCAAAATAAAAATTTTCAGGCTTCAAAAAAAAAAAAAAGATTGAAAATTAAAAAAATTAAGGTCAAAATACATACCATAGGCTTGTCGTAGAAAGGAAAACCCTGCATAGACCTTAATGCATTTGTTGCACTGTTGATTTCCTTAAATATTACAAACGCTTGTCCCCTCATTCTGATATTACGCAAATGGACAATATCTAAAATCTGTCCAAATTGTGAGAATATTGCATACAGAGACTTTTTAAGATCTGAAAATAAACAAAACAGTAAAACATTAAAGAAGTCAAAGAGGTGTTGACTGAGAGTTGATGTTAAAGGTTTATCGTCATAAGTGGTAAATTCTGAGTCAGCCTCATCACTGCCAAAAGGTGGGGCAAGATTTCATACGGGGAACTGCCACACTTTTACAAGAGTCACTGCTATGTTCTCAAGAAATGCGCAATTAGTTACCTCGTACTTTTTTTTTAGAAGTGAAAGTTTTTGATCTTTAGACATGCCTATATCTTCTGTTTTTTCATTCATGAGCCAATGTATGTTCTGCTGCTTGTCTAATACCTAACTTCGCTCCGATTGCAAATTATTTCCCCATAGTTGGAGGATGAAGCAATGTAACACAGCAAGTACTATCCTCGAGTCCCTGCTCTTGGAAAATTACTGTCAAACTTCTGCCAATAACACTCATGAGCAAAGAGAAGAAAAATAGTAAGACTTACCTTCTTTCTTAATTTTTTCATTTAGATTGTTGATGTAAATGGTGTGATTTGGGCGAATATCCGTAATCATTTTGGGATTGATCAGCACCTAAAACCACACAGAAATTTCATTAGATCAAATAAGCACTAACCAATGATTTAAGGGTCTTCGTTTTGAAGAATAAATTTTTCTTTTTTTTTTACATTGCTTCAGGATAGTTGTCCACGACAAACCACATACCGACAAAACCAAATTTGTCTGGATCAAATTAATTTTGTTGAAAAGGAACAGGCAGAGGTTATCTCACCAGTGAGACCAATATTCGTATGTGCAAAACCGATTGCCAACCGGCATAATTGGTTTTGATTTTGGCATTTAGGCAAAAATTAGTGAGAATCTGCAGGATTTTTTTCCCTGCTGCATTCATGCAGTCTTGCACTGCGCCAAAAAGCACTCGAGAGCTGCAC